GAGTATGATACCCCTGACCTAGAACATACTTCCAAGTCAATAAAACAATGGCTTAACCAGAAGATGATCAAAGTTTTGGAATGGCCTGACTAGAGCCATTGTGACCCTCATAAACTAAAATATTTGGAGCATTTTGCAAGGAAGAGTGGGCAAAGATTCCCAAGGCTGGATGTGCCATGCTGATAGGCTCTTCCCCAAAAAGCTTGCATACTGTTAGAAAACCAAAATGTGCTTCAAGAAAGTATTAGTTTAAGGGTGTGAAACCATGTTGTTGTAAGTTTCTATTGTCATTTCTTCCCAGTAAAAGATTTCAGTTTGTGTTTCAATTGAATTCTACATCTAATAAGTTATTTGAAAGTTGGAAAAAATTCTGAGGTCTGATTTTGTTACATCCCGCAAACCTGGCATTTTACAAGGGGTGTGTAGACATTCTATATCCACTATATATCTGGAAGTTTGGGGGATAAGATTATATTCAGATATATACACAGAGAGAAATACAAATATACACACCTACAAAGGTGTATATATAGAGAGAAAATCCACATATATTTTAGTCTGAAAAATGTCCCAAAATGGTTACAGTCAAACCTTTTGAGCTACTTTTAGAGATGTGGGCTTTAACTGATGAAATGATGCCGAAAGCCCCCGCAAGATTTGAAGCACCAGTTTTGCCCATGGAAGTCTTCAGCTCACAATAAGGACAGAAAATACTGCCCAAAACCTCTCTTGTGACATACCCATTGAAGTAGTCCTCACTTACTGATCGCAATTGGGACTGGCATCTGTGTCGCCTAAGTAGCCCATTCATTAATCATGTCGCATGACAGTGCAACATGACATCTCCGTAATGGCGAACCTATGGCACGGGTGCCACAGGTGGCACGTGGAGCCATATTGGTGGGCACACGAGCTCAGCTCTGGCAAGCATGAGTGCGCTGGCCAGTTGATTTTCGGACCTTCTGGGCCCATGAGAAGTCAGGAAACACGCTGTTTCCAGCCTCCAGAAGGCCTCAAGGAAGGGTGGAGAAGGCTATTTTTGCCCTCCCCAGGCTCCTAGAAAGGCTCTGGAGCCTGGGGAGAGCAAAAAATGGTCCTACTGGTCCTACTGTGTCATCACGTGCCAAAAGCAGGGGGGGCATGAGGGGTGTGTGTATAGAATTATGGGTGTGGGCACATGTGCGTGTGTCCCCCCCCCCACTTTTGGCAACCAAAAAGGTTAGCCATCACTGCTATATCTTCTCCTCTGCGGTTGTTAACCTAATCACTGTGGGTTGTTAAAGGTACTTTCACATGACTGTGTCTGGCAACTTCTTGCCAGTATCCCCTTGTCAGAAGATAGCTGGGAAGGTCACAAACGGGATCATAAATGTGCACCTGTGGCAGCACCCAAATTGATGCAACTCCTTTTCCTGGACCTTCAGAACCACAGGAAGGGCTGAAGTGCAGCCACTGAAGAAGTGCCACCATGGCCACAAATTGGTGGACCAGGTGTATGTCTGCTTTTACAGTGCCATAGTAATTTTGAAGGCTCAGGGAAGAAATGGTAAGGGAGGACTCCCTACACAACTGAACCTCACATAAGATCCTTAACAGCTATTTTTTTTTACAAAAATGTTGGTTTAAGAACGGTTCAACCTGGTTAATACATTGATGAGGCTCCAATAGGAGCTAAACATGGAAGTAAAAGAAAGTAAAATCCCAGAAAAGACCAGTCTAGAGAAAAAAAGGACTAGGGGGACATGATAGCAGTATTCCAGTTCTTGAGGGGCTGCCACAAAGAAGAGGGGGTCAAATTATTCTCCAAAGCACCAGAGGGCAGGACAAGAAACAATGGTTGGAAACTGATCAAAAAGAGAAGCAATCTGGAATTATGGAGAAACTTCCTTACTGTGAGGACAATTAAACAATAGAACAGCTTTGCCTTCAGAAATCGTGGGAGCTCCATCACTGGAGGTTTTTTAAGATGAGTGGACATTTACTTACCTGAAATGGTATAGGTTCTCCTATTTGAACAGGGGGCTGGACTAGAAGACCTCCAAGGTCCATTCCAGCTCATTGATTCCATCCATTCATTCATTCCAGTCCCATATTCATGGTGCCAAGAAAATACCATGTCCATAAAATCCCAAGGAATCAATCTTAGCTTGAAGACTTTTTAAATCTTCCAGCAGCAAAAAATTGCAGGCATCAGTTTTAAAGCCTACAGCAACGGTGGAATAAAATCTGGGGTGGGAAGGAATATGTAACAGCCTAGTTCCTTCTCTGCTTTTACACCGTGGAGGAAGCCAAAGTCTTGCTCCCGGTTTTTTTTCCTGACCTGCCCTCAACTCACCTTCTAGCTGCTGCTTCGACCCTGTGAAGAGCATGACTGCTGGCTCCATCGTCTGCTCCTATCCTCTAGTCGAAATTCTTTCTAGCAATATTCCCTTGTTTTAACTCTATCACGCCTGTTGGATATCGGCTGTCAGCCACCACCAATACCGCTATGATTTTCCAGGCCTCTTGTGGTGTTAGAGCGCTATCTAGTGACATAAGACTGAAAATACGCTCATTCCGTCCCTATCTGATGCTTTTAAGATTTTTCTAATGAAGTGCCATTTTTCCACTCTTAACCATCACATCCATAACTTTTCTCCAGGACGATCTAGCCCCAGTCGAGAGACTTTGGGGTCTTGCAGGGACGTCCTCATCGTGCCTGGGACTCCTACCTCTTCCCTTATCCAAGTCACATGAGGTCCTCACTTAATGACCCTCAGGGTGCTAGAATAGCCATGGCAACTGGAACTGCCAGGATTGCCCTCACTAAGCAATGTAGTCACATGGTGTCATATTTTATAACCTCATTGCAGAGCAATGGAAATTCTGGCACCAATTGCTGTCACAACCCAAGAAATACCCATATTTCTTTTACAAGCTGAGGAGAGGGCTGGAAGAGTCATTTCCCCACTTCTGGACACTTGGCATCCTGACCATCTTGATACCTTCAACAGCAGTTTCTTATGCATAAGAAAATGATGAAGGGTTTTCCTGGCACAGGAGTTCAAGGCATTACTGCAGATTAACATCGTTTGTAAGTGCAGCTGAAGAAGGCAATGAAAAGCTGGCAGCCTGGGACTTCAATTCACCCTCTGCTTGCAGCTCTGACTTTGCCACCTGGCCAAAGGGCTGTGAAGGAGAAAGGCACCTGGGCCCTTCTCAGTCTGGGCTCATGTCAGAATATTCATGAACTGAGATAGACATGGCAACATGTCAGCCATTGGGGCTGGCTAGAATAAGATGTAGTAACAAGGTCAGCCAATGAATATGCATGGCAACAGATCAGCCAATGGGAGCTGACTTGGAAACTGAAACTGGAAGGAGCCTGGGCGTGGCTCTGCAGATCTGGATCTGTGCTGAGAACCAAACAAGTCTGGCCTTATCTGCTCTGCTGAATTGAAACCAAGAACAGTTCTCTCCTCTGCCTGTAACTCTCTACCACATTGGAAGAATCTGCTGTTGTTATTGTAAATTTACTTCATGTGTTATTATGTATATAAAGAAGTTAATGAATCCTGCTGAATCAATTTACCTGTGTGTGCTTTTTGGATTTGATTTTGCAATAAACTATGACAGTTCAGGCCAGGGAACATCACCAAAATGGCATCTGTTGCAATTCTAATGGACTTTTGGAGGGTTCGAAATAGACCGGATGCAACCATTATGTCCCTCCTAGACCTCCCATCAGGTTTCAATACCATCGACCAGCTTTTCAGGACTGGAAATAGGAGGCACTTTATTACAGTGCTTCTACTTCTGCCTCCATGGCCGGTTCCAGTGTGAGTAGAAGTCTTTTTCTCACCATTGCAGTAACACCCTTTGTCAGATGATCAAAATTCAGAAATGGGGCAATTAGAGTCTTATTTGTGATATGTCCTGGGGTTATGTGATCCCCTTTGGGGACTGAACAGGCGCAGAACTTGGGGGTCTTCCTGGAATTATGGCTCCTGCTTGAAGAAATTGTGACCGGGGGAAGGGACCTTGCAGAGATTCATCTGGTCAGCCAATTATGCCCTTTTCTGGACCGGGAAGGTTTTGCACAGTCAGTCCTTCTTGCTTTGGTCACCTCCTGTACGGATTACTGCCCTGGACCATCCAGAAACTGCAACTGGTCCAGAATGCAGTAGTGCACACAGTAATGGTGTCCCTAGGTTGCCCATGTAACATCTTTGTAGTAGAGCTGCACTAGATTCGTTTCTTTTAAAGTGCAAGTGAAGATGCTGGTCATCACCTTTTAAGCTATTTCTTAATAGCGCTTAATTATATACCAACCCACAGTGCTTTATAGCACTCTCGGTGTATAGTGTCAGCATATTGTCCCAACAATCTGGGTCCTCATTTTACTAACCTCAGAAGGATGGAAGACTGACTCAACCTCAAGCGCCATCAGGATTGAATTCCAGGCTGTGGGCAGAGTCAGCCAGCAATACTGGCCTTTAATCCCTAGACCACCAAGACAGCCGTCATCATTGTTCCACCTTTATTATTTTTGTATCTATCTATTCTACCAGGTCAGACAGGGTGGACATGTTGCTAGCCCCTTCTGGTAAATATTACCATCTTCCGCCGTGCCCTTAAAACCCACTTTTTCCAGCAAGCCGGGCTGGTTTAGGAAGAAATTTTTTAAAATTTTTAAATGTTTAATTGGTTTGTGGTTTTTTTAAATTTTGGGCCAAATTTATATAGATTTTAATTGTTTTTAATATTTGTATTTCATGTTTTTAATTCTGGCTGTGCACCGCCCTGAGCCCTCAGGGAGAAGGGCGGTATATAAATTGAAAAATAAAATAAATAAAATAAAATAAATCTGATAGGAGCTGGGAAGTGTCTCTTTCGTGTTGCAGACTCTCCCCTATGAAACACGACTTCCCCATAGTTTGACAAGCCTTTATCCTCCTGGTCCTCTGTAAAATAAGGACCCTAAGTCCTGGGATAAAAAGAGTTGCCTCTACACCAGAAACTTGATTTGGAACCAGGTTTTTGTTTATATTTATTAAATTTATATGCCGCTAATCCTGAGGTTGACTACTCCAATTTGACTTCTTGCAAGGAGAAAGATAACCAGTTTTGAGCAAGAATGGCACCTGACAATGAACATAATTAGTAAGGACAGGAGGCCTGGTTAAGTTCAAAATTGAACAAAAGCAAGAATCACCATTTCGGGATTCCGAGATCATCAAATTGCCATCAACTTTACTAGAAGTGATCTGTATTGTAAATGCAGAGGCTTTGCATTTTGCCACCTGCTACATATGGGATTCATTGGTTTCTGTAATAGGGTTTTATTGCTGTAAACCATATGGAGTCATATGAGTGGGGTTGCCAGATACATTTTGTTCCTGTAGAAAAATCCATATATATTTATATCCCCCTTTATTATATGTAGAAATAACTCAAGGTGGCAAATATAATTAATACAGATCATTCTATTCTGTTCTATTCTGTTATTCTATTCTATTCTATTCCTCATGTTTGATACCAAGACATGTTTCAGTAAAAAGAATCTTCTTTCTAGCGTATTCCCGCAGGTGCAGAGTCCACTTTTCACATTACTGAATACCATTTTGCACGGTCAGCTGTGTCTCCAAGGCACAGGCTAATGGCTTGCATATCTTTGTTGATGGTATCTTGCCATCTCTGTTTTGGATGCCTGTGAGGTCACCAACCATTGACTTCTACTTCGTAGGAAGTCTTGGCCATGATGGAAGGTGCTGCTCTCTGGACATGTCCATACCAGCAGAGTCAGCCTTCTCTCACCTTCTCTATAATTGGTGCCACAACAAAATGTTGTCGTTTGTGATGTGGTCAAGAAGGGAGATGCCCGATATCCAACGAAGCGTTCACATTTCCATGGCATGGAGATAGCTTTCGGTCCCTTGTTGTTGCTGCCCAACATTCAGTGCCATACAGTGCTACAGGGCGGATTTTAACTAAAAAGAATCATGCAAGAAATTAAATGGTAAATTGCTCAGCTGGGTAACAAATGAGACACAAGAAACAAAATTCAAGATTCCTCTACACACATCAAGTTTTGCCTCAAGTGGAATTTCTTGTGTGTGATAAGGGAGCAATGTTGTGCAAAACAATAATTGTCTGAAATCTGGGTAGTTGAAGGGTTACTCCCCTATGTGTAACCTCACATGATTTATAAGGCTAGACCTAGTACTGAAATCTTTCCCACAATCCGGACACTCATATGGTTTCTCTCCTGTATGAGTCCTCCAATGTATCACCAAATGGGAATTCTGACTAAAACTTTTCCCACATTCAAGACACTCATATGGTTTCTCTCCTGTGTGAGTCCTCCGATGTTCCACCAGGTTGCAATTCCGACTGAAACTTTTCCCACAATCCAAACACTCATATGGTTTCTCTCCTGTATGAGTCCTCTGGTGAATCACCAGGCTGGAATTCTGACTGAAACTTTTCCCACAATCCAAACACTCATATGGTCTCTCTCCTGTATGAGTCCTCTGGTGAATCACCAGGTTGGAATTCTGACTGAAACTTTTCCCACATTCTGGACACTCATATGGTTTCTCTCCTGTATGAGTCCTCTGATGTTTCACCAGGTTGGAATTATCCTGGAAACTTTTCCCACAATCAGAACACTCATATGGTTTTTCTACTGTGTGAGTCCTTCGATGTCTCACCAGATTGGAATTCTGACTGAAACTTTTCCCACAATCTGGACACTCATATGGTTTCTCTCCTGTGTGAGTCCTCTGATGTTCTACCAGGTGGTAATTCCGACTGAAACTTTTCCCACAATCCAAACACTCAAATGGTTTCTCTCCCATATGAGTCCTCTGGTGAATCACCAGGTTGGAATTGCCAGTGAAACTTTTCTCACAATCCGAACATTTGTATAGTTTCTCTCTTGTGTGAGTCCTCTGGTGTATCACTAGCTTGGAATTCTGACTAAAATATCTCTCACTATCCGGACAGTTATATAGTTTCTCTCCTGTGTGAATCCTCTTGTGTACCACCAGGCTAGAATTGTGAGTGAAACCTTTCCCACAATCTGGACACTTATATGGTTTCTCTCCTGTGTGAGTCCTCTGATGATCCACCAGGGGGGAATTCTGAGAGAAACTTTTTCCACAAACTGGACATTCATATGGTTTTTCTCCTGTGTGAATCCTCTGATGTGCCACCAAGTGGGAATTCTGACTGAAACTTTTCCCACAATCTGGACACTCATATGGTTTCTCTCCCGTGTGAGTCCTCTGGTGTATCACCAGGTCAGAATTCCGTGTGAAACTTTTCCCACAATCCAGACATTCGAAGGGTTTCTCCCTAGTGTGAGTTTTCTTGTGTTTCACCAGATTGCATGCTAAATCTTTTGCCACATTGGGAGCACTGGTAGGGTTTGTCTCAAGTATGGGTCTTTCCATGAATCATGAGGAAGATTTTTTGAGTAAAGCTTTTGCCGTACTCCAAGTATTTGTATGGGTTTTCATTGGGTGGATCCTCTCATCCATAGTCAGCCGTGTTTTTCCACAATAGGCAGTCTGTGAGGTTTTTCCCACACTGATATTCTTGGACTCTTGAAGAGGCCAACAATATTTCTGATCACTTGGAGGTTCTTTGCTTCATGCCATTCTTTCCTTCATCAAAGATTTTCATTAATACCTGTCCATTTTGGCTGTCCAAGGAACCTTTTCCTTCCCACTGACTTCCAGTTATTTGCACTGTTTTTTTATTTCAATATTATCCCCCTTGACCTCTTAGGTAATGTTTGCTTTAGTTCCACATACACGTATTTTTTCCAGCTCAAAATTTTGTTCTTGTTATTCTCTCCCTTGTCTCTCATCTTCTGAGGAAGAAGAAGAGTTTTTACACATTCTGGAGGAAATGGAAAAAAATGTTGATTGATGGCTTCTTTTGCATTTTAAGGCTGCTTCTCATTGTCTGTTGTCCAGAGTGCTCTTCTTGGCATCCTCCTTGTCTGTAAGATTAATATTAATGGATTAGTTTCATTCTTATTTAAAAATTTGCTGTAGGACATGTGAAAGCATCAAAAAACCCCAACCCCCATATAGTACCATGAAAGAAAAAACATCAATGTTCTAGTTTCAGCTCTAACATTAATTATGATTCATTTGGCATGTTGAAGACTACCAGATCCTAGTTCAAATATCAACTCAATCACAAAATTCTTTTTTTGGCTTGGGTAAAATCACACATATATGCATGCCTAAATAAAAAAAAAATCATTTATGTAGAAAATCTATCTGCATTTTAGTATGCAAAACGTCCTAGAAGTGCATTCAAATTTTTTTATCTAAATTTAGAAATGTGGGGGCGCTAACAGACGAAATGGTGCCCAAATCCTATGCAAGATTTAAATCATCCATTTTACCTATGCAACTCCTCACTTGCCAGGAAAACAACATGACAATAATATGTCAAGGAATCAAGAGACTGAGGGAGATGGGCAGATATGCAATATAAAAAAATTAAGATTTTTTAAATCTCCTATGTCTTATATTCAGAATAGAGCTAGAAGGGTCCTTGTGGGTCTTCTAGCCCAATGCTCTACTCAAGCAAAAAACTCTATACCCATGATGGCAAACCTATGGCACGCGTGCCATAGGTGGCACCTGTAGCCATATCTGTGGGTACGCCAGCTCAGCTCTGGCGCGCATGTGTGCGCCGGCTAGCTTGTTTTCAGGCCTTCTGGGCCCACCAGAAATAGGGAAACGGACTGTTTCCTGCCTCTGGAGGGCCTGTGGGGGTGGGGTGGGGAAGGCCCGTTTTTCTTTCTCACCTGGCTCCAGATCCTGTCTATGCATCTGGGGAGGGCAAAAACAGCCTTCCTCACCCCCTCGGAGGCCCTCTGGAGGCCTGAAATAGCCCATTTCCCACCTCCCGGTTGGACAGGAAGTGATGTTTTTTGCTGTCCCCAGCCTCCAGAGCCTCTCTAGGAGTCTCTGGAGGCTGGGGACAGCAAAAAATGTTACTTCCTGTCCAACCGGGAGTTGGGAAATGGGCAGTTTCAGGCCTCTGAGGGGTGGGGAAGGCTGTTTTCGCCCTCCCCAGATACATAGAGAGGATCTGGAGCCAAGTGAGAAAGAAAAGCATGCCAGGAGCGGGGGGGAGGAGGGGTTGCGTGCACATGCACAGGGTGGGACGCATAGAATTATGGGTGTGGGCACGCGCATGCACAAACCTCCCCCGCCCCTCCCCTCCTGGCACGCAATGGGAAAAAGTTTAACCATCACTGCCCTATACCTTTTCAAACAGGTGGCTGTCCAGTCTATTCTTAAAAACCTCCAGTGATGAAGCACCCACAAGATCTTAAGGCAAAGCTGTTTCACTGGTTAATTGTCCTCACTGTTAGGAAGTTCCTCAATTCCAGGTTGCTTCCCTCCTTGATTAATTTCCACCCATTGTTTCTTGTCCTGCCCTCTAATGCTTTGGAAATGAGTTTACCCCCCACTCTTCTTTGTGGCAGACTCTCAAATACTGGAATACTGATTGGTTCCCACCCATTGCTTCTTGTCTTGCCTTCTGGTGGTTTGAAAATAAACTGCCCCCCTTCTTTTTGTGGCACTTTCTCAAAAACTGGAATACTGCTATCAGGTGCTCCCTAGTCCTTCTTTTCTCTAGACTTAGCCATACCCAAATCCTGCAACCGTTCTTCATATGTTTTAGTCACCAGGCCTTTCAATTTTAGTCTCTCACATTTCCCAGCAGAAAATTACAAGCAGCACATTTAAGTTATACAGTGTAACTGTAATAACATTTGGGGAGAGAAAGGACACGCAGCAGCTGACAAGTTTCAGCTTTGTTCCTTCGCTGCTTTTACTCCTTGGAGGAAACCAAAGAACCCGATTTGCTCCTGGCTTCTCCTCCAACCTATGCTCAATTCACCTTCCAGATGCTGCTTCAACCCTGGGAAGAACAGGACTGGCACACCCCCATCCCATGCCTCCATCCTCCTATGGGTGAGCCAGAAAAGGAAGTTCCTCTGCCTGTATCATCTCCACATGCTTTCTAGCAATACTCCCTGGTTTTAACTCCTTTCACCTCCCCTGCGTCCTCTTCTGTTGGATGTCGCAACTCAGCAAAAGTGTTCAAGGTGCTGCAGTTGTGTTACAGCTCCACCTAGTGACGTGAGCCTGAAAATACGCTCATTCTGTCTCTATCTGGAGACAGATTTTTTTTTTTTTAAATTGAGTTTTCCAACGGAAGAGAGCAATGAAAGGTTGGCAGCTTGGCAGTACAACTCACCCTCTGATTGCAGCGCTGACTTTGACATCCGGAGAAAGGGCTATGCAGGAGGAAAGAAACCTGGGCCCTTCTCAGTCTGGGTTCAGGCTGGGGCACATCACCTGTTAGAAGAAAAATCCATGTGGTTCAGGTCCAAGCTGGGAATAAAATAAAATGGAGACTGATTGGAAAGAAAGTTTGATGATGAACACAACTTAACAGGAGTTCTGGGACAGCTGACAAAATGGAGTTGAGAGTAGGTGGGTTTCGATACCTTCTTTGGGCTTTGTATTTGAGCTTCCTATTCCTGTGCAAGAACATGTCTTTCAATATTCTAACGGCTGTCATCAGATTCCTATGGGGTCATGGCTGGCTCTATAGGCAAAAGGGGAACTGCAAATCCTCGGTGCTTGTCTGAGCTAATCCTCTCAACCAGGGGTGAAATGCTACCGGTTCAGACTGGTTCAGGTGAACCGGTAGTAAAAAATGCTACGGGTTCAGCTGAACTGGTATTTCCGACGATCAGCTGGGCGATGATCAGCTGTGACGCACGATTTATATTAGCTAGAATCGTCGGATTTCCTGCTCTCTAGCTAATCTAAATCGTGTGGTACAGCGGATTCCCCCTCCCTGTTCTACTTATCTTTGTGGACTTGGCTTCAAAATATTCCTTTTTTAGTGCTGTGCGGGCGTGCCTCAGGTGCGCATTTGCGCAAAGCGCACACTCGGTAGCAGACTCAAAGAACCAGTAGCAGGCTTCAGAGGATTTCAACGCTGCTCTCAACCTTTTTGGCTTGTCTAATTGCTAATTTGGAGTTTCCTGTCTGACCCAGTCTTTCTGAATGGATTACTAAATCTGCATTTCTAAAAGCTGGCCTCTTCAATTTCTACGTTAATTATGTCAAAGGAAAATTTATACAAAATGTTTTATAAGTGGCATTTACCACCTGCGAGATTAGCAAAGATGTATGAAAACTTATCAGCTAAATGTTAGAAATGTAATCAGATACCAGGTTCATATATGTGGTGGACATGCTCAAAGGCAAAAAAATATTGGACTAAAATACATACTTGGTTAGAAAAAATGATAAAGCAACATATAGATTTGAAACCAGAAATAGTTTTGTTGGATATATACCAGAACAGTATAATAAAGAGAAAACATACTTAATTTTAAATGTATTAATGGGAGCAAGAATTGTGTTTGCACAACAATGGAAAAATGAAGAGATTCCAATAGATGAAAGTGTTATAAAAAGTACTAGAATGTACTGAGATGGATAAATTAACACTTAAAATAAAAGAAAAAAAGAAACAGAATACTTTTTAACATGAGATTTGTTTTACCAAAACAAACACAGAACATAGAACAGAGGTTAGAATCTAAAAAGACTAAAAAGATAAATTTTCTTGAAAATTTTATAAGATGGACAAACTAATTGTATTACTATTTTGTGATTAATACTGATATGTCTATTATGATTACTATTATGATTAATGTTGCGTCTCTACTTATAACCGGCTCAAAAGCCTGATTGGGCTTATTATCAGGGGATGTCTTATTTTGGGGGAAATGGTAATATTTTGTCTCTTTTAATATTCCCCAAATATTTCATTCCTTGGAGGGGTGGGGTTGGTTGTTGGTTGCTGACTTCCTACACACCAAAATGCCATTGGTTGTAATTCTCAGACTTCTGGAGGGCTTCAGATAGACGGGGTGAAATCCAAATTTTTTTACTACCAGTTCTGTGGGCATGGCTTGGTGGGCATGGCAGGGGAAGGATACTGCAAAATCCTCATTCCCACCCTACTCTGGGGTCAGCCAGAGGTGGTATTTGCCAGTTCTCCAAACTACTCAAAATGTCCACTAGTGGTTCTTCGAACTGCTCAAAATTTCCACTACCGGTTCTCCAGAACCTGTCAGAACCTGCTGGATTCCATTTCTGGTAAAATCACTGTGTACCTCATAGACCTCTGATTAGGTTTCAATGCCATCGACCAAGTCCAATTCCAAGCAGCTCCTCCAGAAACGAAAGTAGAAGCTAGGATCAATTTCCTCCCAGCACCCCCACTCACTTCCGAAAAAAAAAAAACAATTTAGGCTTTGGGAGGAGTTACCACCCCCAATTTGCTGCCTTGCTAAGCAGCCCGCCAAGGCAAATAGGCGGGAGATTCAAATCTCTGCTCACCCAGCCGGCTCGCAATTCTTCATCTGTCCCGGCGGTTCCAGTCTCCCTTACCATCCACCAAACGCTGCTTTCTAAGGCGCTGGAACTAAAACCGCTCAGAAAAAATGCCGCGAGGTTGAATTCCACAGAGCCTGCCTCGGTGCTGCTGAGCGGTAACTCTGAAGCCGCCTTTACATGGGAGCAATGGCGGAGGCGGTTATGCCAGCAGACTAGGCAACCAGCTCAACCGCCGGCAGCACTATCAAGCTAAAATAGCCCGATGGGCTTGCCCTCCCAAAGGGCAATAACCCGCACGCTGCAAGTAAATCCACCTCGTGGGCAGTCGACCTGGAGCGCCAGAGCCGATCTGCCCACTCTGCAGCACAAGGAAAACCAGCTGCAGCCGCAACTGGCTCCTGAAATAAATAAATCCTCTTCTGCTCCCTCCTAACAAAAACAAACTCTCAAGTTAAAAAATTTTTAAAACACAAAAAAATCCTAATTAACTACACTAACTGCAAGAGCAGTTTAACACACGTCCCTATTGCTAGACTGAAACAACTGAAGCTCAGCAGAACAAAGGAGGCGTGGTCACAACAGATTTAAAGAAATACTACACTTAGTCCCTAGCAAGCAGATGAGAGAAAACCCACGCTTGAATTGCCTAAGCATCACAATGGAAAATGGCACCTGACATGAACATAATTAGTAAGGCCAGGAGGCCTGGTTAAGTTCAAAATTGAACAAAAGCAAGAATCACCTTTTCAGGATTCCCAGATCATCAAAATGCCATCAACTTTATTAGAAGTGCTCTGTATTTGTAGGACTACATTTTCAATGTGGAGGCTTTGCATTTTGCCATTTGAAATATATGGGGTTGATTGATTTCTGTATTAAGGTTTTATTGCTGTAAACCATGTGGAGACATATGAGTTAGGCTGCCATATACTTTTTTTACTGAACAAAAATACATAGAGAGGGATATATATATTTATATCCTCCATTATTACATGTAGAAACAACTCAAGGCGGCCAACATACCTAATACCGATTCTATTATTCTATTCTGTTCTGTTCTATTCCTCCTGTTTGATACTAAAACATATTTCACTAAAAAGAATCATGCAAGAAATTAAATGGTAAATTGCCCAGCTGGCTTTCAAACTAGAGACAAGAAATCAAATTCAAGATTTCTCTACACACATCAAATTTTGACTCAAGTGCAATTTCTTGTGAGTGATAAGGGAGAAATTTTGTGCAAAACTATTTTTGCCTGCAATCTGGATATTTGAATGGTTACTTCCCTATGTGTAACCTTACATGATTTATAAGGCTAGACTTAGTATGGGAATCTTTCCCACAATCCGGACATTCATATGGTTTCTCTCCTGTATGAGTCCTCTGGTGTATCACCCAAATGGAAATTCTGACTGAAACGTTTCCCACATTCAAGACACTCATATGGTTTCTCTCCTGTGTGAGTCCTCCGATGTTTCACCAGGTTGCAATTCCGACTGAAACTTTTCCCACAATCCAAACACTCATATGGTTTCTCTCCTGTATGAGTCCTCTGGTGAATCACCAGGTTGGAATTCCGACTGAAACTTTTCCCACAATCCAAACACTCATATGGTTTCTCTCCTGTATGAGTCCTCTGGTGAATCACCAGGTTGGAATTCCGACTGAAACTTTTCCCACAATCCAAACACTCATATGGTTTCTCTCCTGTATGTGTCCTCTGGTGTTTCGCCAAGTTGGAACTCTGGCTGAAACTTTCCCCACAATCTGGACATTGATATGATTTCTCTCCCATGTGAATTTTCTGGTGTATCAATCAACAAGTTGGAATTCTGACTGAAACTTTTCCCACAATCACAACACTTATATGGCTTCTCTCCTGTGTGAGTCCTCTGATGATCAAGCAGGTGGAAATTTTGACTGAAACTTCTCCCACAATCTGGACACCTACATGGTTTTTCTCCTGTATGAGTTCTCTCGTGTATCATTAAGTTGGAATTCTGACTGAAACTTTTCCCACGATCCAGATACTCATATAGTCTCTCTCCTCTGTGAGTCTTCTGGCGTATCATGAGATGGAAATTACAACTGAATCTTTTCCCACAATCCAAACACTCATATGGATTTTCTCCTGTATGTGTCTTCTGGTGTTTCATCAGGTTGCAATTATGTCTGAAACTTTTCCCACAATCACTACATTTATATGGTTTCTCGCCCGTGTAAGTCCTTTGATGTTCCACCAGGTGGGAATTCCAACTGAAACTTTTTCCACAATCCAAACACTCATATGGTTTCTCTCCTGTATGAGTCCTCTGATGAACCACCAGGTTGTAATTGAGACTAAAACTTTTCTCACAATCCAGATACTTGTATGGTTTGTCTCCTGTGTGAGTCCTCTGGTGTATCACTAGCTTGGAATTCTGTCTAAAACATCTCCCACAATCCAGACACTTATATAGTTTCTCTCCTGTGTGAATCCTCTTGTGTACCCCCAGGCTGGAATTCCGAGAGAAACCTTTCCCACAATCTGGACACTTATATGGTTTCTCTCCTGTGTGAGTTCTTTGATGATCAACCAGGTAGGAATTCTGGTTGAAACTTTTGTCATAATCTGGACATTCATATGGTTTCTCTCCTGTGTGAGTCCTGCAGTGTATCATCATGTGAGAAATCCAACTGAAACTTTTTCCACAGTCAGAACACTTATATGGTTTCTCTCCCACGAGTCCTCTGGTGTGTTACCAATTTAGAATTCCATGTGGAACTGTTCCCACAATCAGCACATTCAAAGTGTGTCTCCCCAGTGTGCGTCCTCTTGTGTCTCATCAGATGACTGTTCATGCTCAATCTTTTAATCGTATTGGAAGCACTGGTAGAGTTTCTCTCTTGTATAGGTCATTCAACGAATCATGAGAGAGGTGTTTTGAGTAAAGTTTTTGCTGCACTCCAAACATTTGTATCATTTTTCACTGGATGGATCCTCTCGTGCATAATCAGCTGTGATCTGCAATCTGTGTTTTTCCTACAAAAAGCCATGTGTGGGGTTTTTTCAACACTAATATTCTTGGATTCTTGAGGAGGCAAAAATATTTCTGATCTCTTACTTGGAGGTTCTTTGATTCAAGCCACTCTTTCTTTCCTCAAGTGCTTTCACTAATGCCTACCCATTTTGGCTATCCAAGGGACCTTTTCCTTCTTACTGACTTCCAGTTGTTTTCCACTTTTTCCAAGTGAAAACTCTGTCCTTGTAATTCTCTACTTTGTCTCTCATCTGCTGAGGAAGAGGAAGAGTTTTTACACTTTTTGGAGGTGGTGGAAAAGATTCTGATTGATGGTTTGTTTTACATTTTAATGCTGTTTCTCATTCTCTTTTGTCCAGAGTGCTCTTCCTGGCATTCTCTTTGTCTGTAAGATTCATATGAATGGGTTAATTTCATTATTGCTTCAAAAAATGTCTGCAGGACATGTGAAAGCAACAACACTCCCCCCATGTATTACGATGAAAAAACAAACTCCAAAATTCTAGTTTAACCTCTAACATTATGATTCATTTGGCATGACTAAACAGCCACCTGTCTGAAATGGTAGTGTCTCCTGCTTGAGGCAGGGAGTTGTACTAGATAGAAGATCTACACGGTCCATTCCAACTATATTCTGACTGATTGACATAGAGACAACTAGCAAGATTGAAATTGAAATATCAACTCAAACATAAGATTCCCTTTTTGGCTTGGGTAAATCAGTCATATACGCACAAATATACAGCTAGAAGGATTTAAATTATTTAAAGAAACAGGCCAAATATAAGAAGAGGTGGAGTTGCAATATATATAAGAAATAGCTACATCTCTATAGAAATAGAGCAGATATGTAAGTTTACTGAAAATAAAGACTAGGGGAAACATGATAGCAGTGTTCCAATATCTCAGGGGCTGCCACAAAGAAGAGGGAGTCAAACTATTCTCCAAAGCACCTGAGGGCAGGACAAGAAGCAATGGATGGAAACTAATCCTCTGTGGTGCAGCGGACTAAGTGCTGTTAAGTGCTAGCACTTAGCTGCCAGCTGCCTGCAATTAGTGCGAGTTCAAATCTCACCAGGCTCAAGGTTGACTCAGCCTTCCATCCTTTCGAGGTAGGTAATTTGAGGACCTGGATTGTGGGGGCAATAAGCCAGCTTTGTATAGAACAACACCGCTTTGGGGGGGAGTTTGTTGCTTATCTTTTCCAGAAAAGGTTTTGAGGTCAGACCAATAGGTCTGTAGTTTCCTGGGTCCATTTTTTTCCCTTTTTTGAAGATGGGAACTACATCAGCTCTTTTCCAGTCCTCTGGTAGTTCCCCAGTGCTCCAGCATCTTTGAAAGATATAGTTCAGTGGTTCTGAGATCACATCTGCCACTTCCCTCAGAACCTTGGGGTGTAATCCATCTGGTCCTGGCAATCTGAACTTGTCAGGGGTGGTCAGGTGTTCACTTACCATTTTCTTGCCTATTTTAACTTTTGTTCCTAATCTGCTTTTTTGTTTGTTTGTCAAAACCTGGGAAGATTCTGGAAAAGATAAGCAACAAACAGCGAACACCTAGAGGGAAACAGTTATAACCAAAAACCAACATGGGTTTGTCAAAAACAGATCATGCCAGCAGGGTGGATTTGATTTAAATCGTGATTTAAATCACTAGTAAAAAAACTTGATTTAAATCAACTCGATTTAAATCATAATTTTTAAAGAGCATCTGTCATCTCTATTACTCTTTTGACCCACTGTTGACTCACCGATAGTCCCAGTGTTGCAGAATATACAGCCTTGTGCTACATAACTAAGCTCCATTTCATGCTGAATAAACTAAATCATTTATGTATCTTAGAGAACTATCTAACGATAGATTTTTACCCCAAAAGTTTTTTATTAAAATAAATTCAATAAAAATAAAAAAAATCCGATTTAAATAAAAAAAATCCGATTTTTTTGATTTTTTTAAAAAAATCATTGATTTTTATCCACCCTGCATGCCAGACATATCTTATTGCATTCTTATCAAAACTAGTGGACAGTCCTAGGCTGCATTAACAGAGGGGTAGTATCAAGGTCATGTGAAGTGTTAGTATCATTTTATAATGCCTTGGTAAAATGACACTTGGAGTACTGCATCCAGCTTTGGTCCCCACGATGTAGAAAACATGTGGAGACTCTAGAAAGAGTGCAGAGAAGAGCAAGAAAGAGGTTTAGAGACTGAAGGCTAAAACATATGAAGAACAGTTGCAGGAACTGTCTCTGTCTACCCTGTTTCCCCCAAAATAAGACATCCCCTGATAATAAGGCTTTAATCGGGCTTTTGAGTGCATGGCAATAAGGCCAAACGCTTATTTCAGGGTTAAAAAGAAAATAAGACAAGGTTTTATTTTCAGGGAAACACAGTAGTTTACTGAAAAGAAGGACTAGGGGAAACATGATAGCAGTGTTCCAATATCTCAGGGGCTGCCACAAAGAGGGAGTCAAGCTATTCTCCAAAGCACCTGAGGGCAGAACAAGAAACTGAACGGAAACTAATCAAGGAGAGAAGCAACCTAGAACTAAGGAGAAATTTCCTGACAGTGAGAACAATTGATCGGTGGAACACCTTGCCTCCAGAAGTTGTGAATGCTCCAAATACTGGAAGTTTTAAAGAAGAAATTGCATAACCATTTGTCTGAAATGATATAGGTTTTCTGCCTGAGCAGGGGGTTGGACTAGAAGACCTCCAAGGTCCCTTCCAACTCTGTTCTTCTGTTACTCAAAACATAGGAACACAGAAATACACACCCATGAATTTATATACGTTGACAATTTATATGCGCTTCAGTGTGCAAAATGTCCCAGAATTCTATTCATTCCAACCAGGGTGGATAAAAATCAATGATTTTTAAAAAAAAAATTTAAAAAAATGTATTTTTTTGATTAAAATCGGATTTTTTTGATTTAAATCGGATTTTTTTGATTTTTATCAAATTTATTTTAATAAAAAACTTTTGGGGTAAAAATCTATCGTAAGATAGTTTTCTATTTAAGATACATAAATAATTTAGTTTATTCAGCATGAAATGGAGCTGAGTTATGTAGCATGAGGCTGTATATTCTGCAACACTGGGACTATCGGTGAGTCAACAGTGGGTCAAAGGAGTAGCAGAGATAACAGCTGCTCTTTAAAAATTATGATTTAAATCGAGTTGATTTAAATCAAGCCTTTTTAGTAGTGATTTAAATTATGATTTAAGTTGTGATTTAAATCAACTCGATTTAAATCAAATCCACCCTGGTTCCAACGTTTTGATCTTAGCTGAAAAAGGCGGGGAACAGATGAAATGCGGGGACCAAATCCTAGGCAAGATTTAAAAAATCCGTTTTTGCCCATGAAACTCCTCACTTGCCAGGAGAGCAAACACGTCAATAACATCACAAGGAATGAGGTGTGAGGTGAAGGCTGAGGGAGATGGGCGGTTAGGAAATATGAAAAATACATATTATTTTTTAAATCTCCCAGCAGAAAATCACAGCCATCAAACTTTAAAACTTTAGGAAGGGAAAGAATATGCAGCACAGCCCGCATCTTTCATCCTTGTCCCTTCGCTGCTTCCCCGCCGTGGAGGCACCCAAAAGACCCGAGTTGCTCCCGGCTTCTCCTCCGACCTTCCCTCCACTCACCTCCCAGGAGCCGCTTCCACCCCTTGAAACAGCACAAGAGGAACCAGCGACGCCATTTTCCTCCCCGTGGGTCAGCCGGAAGAGGAAGTCCCCTCTGCCCCTCGCCTCCTCTCCTCCACATCCCCTCTAGCAATCCGATACTCTTATCTCCCCTCTGGAGATTCTCAGTCATCCAGGTCACGGTCGTCCCAAAGGTGCTTTTTCAGGAGGCAACTGGATTTTCTGCTTTTCCTTTAAAGACGTTTCGCTCCTCATCCCAGAAGCTTCTTCAGCTCTGACTGGATAGTGGGGAATGGAAGGGTTTATTTATACTCCTTGTAGACAAGCCAGTTCTGTTATAAATCCTTTGGGAAGAGTAACACTCTATCGTTTCGTCTCGTTCCAGCCCAGCCTCTCCCGCTTTCCTAGAGTAGCTCTGTTGCCCCTGTACCCTACCTGCTGCCTAGGCGCGAGTGTTGCTTCTTTGTAGAGCGCCATCTAGCGCCATAACGCTGAAGAACGTGTTCGTTCTACTACTTCAACCCTAAGAGGTTTGCAAGAGGTTTTACTGGATTCCCTGCTTCCTGATGTGCCTTCAAGTGGTATGGATAGCTTTGTAAGCGATCGATATCAAGAGAACTTTACCTGGCAGAGGTGTTCAATGCATTGCTGCAGATTAAGATCTCTTGTAAGTGCAGCTGAAAGGTTGGCAGCCTGGAAATTAAACTAACTCTCTGCTTGCAGCCCTGATTTTGCCACCCAGAGAAAAGGCTGTGCAGGAAAAGACACCTGGGCCATTTTCACTCTGGGTTCAGGCTGGGGCACATCACCAATTACATTGGTTGCAATTCTTGCGGACTTTTGGAGGGCTTGGGATAGACGGGGTACTACCATTTTTGCTCTCATAGACCTCTCATCAGGTTCATCTAGTGAAGAGAAGGACTGGGGAGACATGATAGCAGTGTTCTAGTATTTGAGGGGCTGCCACAGAAAGGAAGGGGTCAAGCTATTTTTCAAAGTACCTGAGGGACAGACAAGGAATAATGGATGGAAACTGACTAAAGAAAGATTCAACCTAGAAATGAGGAGGAACTTTCTGACAGTGAGAACAATCAACCAATGGAACAGCTTTGCCTTTGGAAGTTGTGGGAGCTTCATCACTTGAGACTTTCAAGAAAAGTTTGGACTGCTATTTGTCAGAAATGGTGTAGGGTCTCCTGCTTGAGTGGGGGGTTGGACTAGATGACCTATAAGGTCCCTTCCAACTCTGTTAATCTGTTAATATCCTGGACTGGCTTTGGGAATAGGAAATGGGAGGCACTTTATCGTGGTGGTGCTACTTCTGCCTTCATGGCTGGTTCCAGTGGATATTGATAAAAATTTTCCATCTGCATTCTTGCAGGGCCTAAATCTCACTAGAAGGCAGAATTCCTCTGAGTAGCCTTCTCAATTTCCAGAGGAGATTCCAGCATTGAATATTCTCAGGCAGCTTGCGAAAAACATGGGGAGGTCACTAGTTTGTTGGAAGCTGATCTAAAGTGTCCTGCACTTAGGTCATTGGCTCTCAATTCCTTTCCAAGACCCAGAAAGGAGCAGGCCTTGAGACCTCCCACTTGCTCGCAACTCACCTGTTGGCCTACTTGCCTGGCACAATTACAACTGGAACTGCCAGGATTGCCCTCACTAAGCAATCTGGTCACATGTCCCTTTTTATGACCACATTGTATAGCAATGGAAATCCTGGCACCAATTCTTGTCACAATGCAAGAAATACCTCCCCCCACCTTTTTTTTTTTTACAAGCTCAGGAAGTTATTTTCCCCCTTCTGGACAGTTGGCATCCTGGCTGGCTTGATACCTTGAACAGCAGTTTGTAATGCATAATAAAATCATAAGGGGTTTTCCTGGCAGAGCAGTTCAAGGCATTGCTGCAGATTAAGATCTTCTGTAAGTGCAGCTGAAGAGGGCAATGAAAGGTTGGCAGCCTGGAACTTCAACTCACCCTCACTCACTTAGCAGCTCTGACTTTGCCACCTGGAGAAAGGACTGTGCAGGAGAAAGCCACCTGGGCCCTTCTTAGTCTGGGGTCAGGCCAGGACATATCACCAAAACAGCACTGGTTGCAATTCTCATGGACTTTTGGAGGGCTTGGGATAGATGGGGCACAATCATTATGTCTTTCCTAGTTCAGATTTCAACACCATCGACCATGCTATCCTTCTGGACCGGCTTTGGGTACAGGAAATGGGAGGCTATTATTATTATTATTATTATTATTATTATTATTATTATTATTATTATTATTATTATTTCTATGCCGCCACTCTCCGAGGACTCTGGGCGTCTTACACCAAAGACAGAATATACTAAATAGCATTTTGCCCCCAACAATCTGGGTCCTCATTTTACCCACCTCGGAAGGATGGAAGGCTGAGTCAACCTTGAGCCGGTGAGATTTGATCCGCTGATCTGCTGAACTAGAATTATGGTGATTCTGTTTCTACTTTCAGTTGGTGTGTGTAGAAGGGGACACCTGATGCATGCCAGTGAGACTTGGACTGTATACAGGAGGCATGCTAGGCAATTGAACCACTTCCACACGACCTGCCTCTGCAGACTTATGAGAATCTGGTGGCAGGACAAGGTGCCAGACACAGAAGTCCTCTCCAGAGCAGGCCTGCCATCAGTTCACACCTTGCTGATATGAAAGCCCAGACACACTGGGCAGGCCAAGTTGCAAGGATGCCAGGCCATCGCATCCCTAAACAGCTCCTCTATGGTGAGGTGTCTCAAGGTAAGTGATCACACGGGGGACAAAGGAAGTGATAGAAAGACAGGTTGAAAGCCTCCTTCAAGTCCCTGGATATCGACATCATCTCCTGGGAAACCCTGGTACAAGACTGATTGACATGGCGGACATTGATCCACTGCCAGACATTTAAAGACAGAGGAACATCCAAAGCACAAGGGGACCGAGCACTCCGCAAAGCCAGAGCTGCAAATGCTGCAACAATGGTGCTCACACATATCTGCCCAACATGTGGCAGAACATCCCGTGCCCGTATAGGCCTTACCAGCCACCTGCAGACAAACCGTGGACAGCCCACAACCATTAGATGTCAAGGTCCTCTTCGAACACAATGGACGAACATCATCATGTAGAAGAGGAACAGAGTCCTGGCCCCTGAAATTGGGGTGTCCCGGGTCTCAAGCCTTTGGCTGCTGCTTTTCAACATCTACATGAAACTGCTCGGGGAGGCCATCCATCCTGAGATACCCAATTACGTACAGGTCGTCCTTGATTTACAACATTTCAGTCAGTGACCATTTGAAGTTACAAGGGCATTGAAAATTGACATGGCCATTTTTCACATTGCAGCATGCCCATTGTCATGTGATCAAACTTCAGACAGTTAAGAGGCCTTGCACACAGGTCATTAATGCCTTGTTCACCTAGTTTTGGCTTTCCGCACTGGACCAATGGGCCAACTAGAAACTTCAATTGGTCCAGAACGCAGCAGCGCACACAATAAGGGGGGCCCCTAAGTTGCCCATGTAACATACTTGTCACGGGAGCTGCACTGGATTCGTTTTTGAAGGTGCAATTGAAGATGGCAATCACTTTTAAAGCTATTTTTTTATTATAACAATAGCAATAGCACTTAGACCTATATACCACCACACAGTGCTTTATAGCTCTCTCGGTATATAGTGTCAGAATATTGTCCCCAACAATCTGGGTCCTCATTTTACCAGTCTCAGAAGGATGGAAGGCTGAGTCAACCTCAAGCCCTATCAGGATCGAACTCCAGGCAGTGGGAAGAGTCAGCGAGCAATACTGCATTCTAACCACTGAGCCACCAGGGCACATATGTCACTAGTTTCCCACCTTTATTATTTTCCCATCTGCCTGTTCTACCAGGTCAGATAGGGTGGGCACATTCCTAGCCCCTTGCCTTAAATATTACCATCTGATAGGAGCTAGGAAGTGAGTCTTTTCCGTTGCAGCTCCTGTCCTATCAGACACTCTTCCCCCTGGCATTTGGAAGGCCTTTATCCCCCTAGTCTTCCGTAAAGGAAAGAAGATCTAGCTTTCCCTCTGAGCACTGGGATTAAGAAGAGATGCCTGTGCATCAGAAGCTTGATTGAGAGCCAGGTTTTTGTTTTTATGCATTTAGTTTTAATATGGTTTTTAAGTTAATTACTGATTGGGAGCTGGCCAGTGTTTGTTATAACATGGATGGCTACATAAATATTTTAAATAAATCAAAGGAAAAAGATTAATCTGGAAAATGGCGCTACTGAGGCTGCCCATCTGCAGGTTGCTTGAGGCTCTGAAGATCTATGCATTTCTTTAATTATCAAATTGATATGCTGCTAATCCTGCGGTGAACTTCTCCAATTTACCTCCTTGCAAGGAGAAAGATAACCAGATTTGGGCAAGAATGGCACCTGACATGAATATAATTAATAAGGCCAGGAGGCCTGGTTAACTTATAAATTGAATCACATTTTTGGAATCCGAATGACCATCCGAATGCCATCAACCTTGTTAGAAGTGCCTTCTCTTTGCAGGGCAAGTAAATGTTAAATATATAGGATTTGCATTTTGCCATTTGAAATATATTGGGATTATTGGTTTCTGTATTAGTTTTATTGCTGTAAACCATGTGGAGTCATTATGAGTGGGGCTGCCATACATATTTTCATGCTAAGTAAAAATACATGCATACATACATACATGCTTATATCCTTTATTATATGTAGAAATAACTCAAGGCGGCAAACATACATAATAGAGATGCAAGCTCCTTTACTCTGGCCCAGCATAGCAGTTCTCCTTGATTCCGTGATAAGGAACGACCGCACTGGGCCAGAGAAAGGAAGATCAGATAAGATTAGAGAAAAGAAAGAGAAACGAAGAACAAAGAAAGAAAAAGGAAGTTCAAATCAGATTAGAGGCCTCCCGGCTAAAACATATGAAGAATGGTTAGAAGAGCATTAGACATGGCCAGTCTAGTGAATAGAAGAAGAAGGGGTGACATAACAGTCTTCCAATATTTGAGGGATTGTCATAAAGAGAGGGGGACAGTCTATTTTCCAAAGCACCCGAAGGGCAGACAAGGAACAATGGATGGAAACTGATCAAGGAGAGATTCAACCTAGAAATAAGGAGACATTCTGAGACAGTGATAACAATCAACCAACGGAACAACTCACCTTCAGAAGTTGTGAGTGCTTCATCACTGGAGGCTTTCAAGGAGAGATGTGACTGCTACTTGTCAGAAATGGTATAGGACAGTGATGGCTAAACTTTTTCGGACCGAGTACCCAAAGCGCGTGTGCCTGCCTGAACCCCCAAAATGCAATGCATGTGCAGCCCCCGCCCATGCGTCCCAACACCCGCCCATGTGTGCGTAGCCCTGAATATGCCTCTCCTGAGCGTGCGTACACTGCCTCCTTGCCCGCCCCTCGCGTATGCATGGCAGAGACCCAAAGACCAGCTGGCTGGTGGGAGATGTGTGTGCATATACAGCGGAGCTGAACTGGAGCAATGGCCTGCGTGCCCACAGAGAGGGTTCTGCGTGCCTCCTCTGGCACACTTGTCATAGGTTCGCCATCATGGGTATAGGATAACATGCTTGAGCAGTGGGTTGGATTAGACGGCATACAAGGTCCCTTCCAACTCTGTTATTCTATTCTATTCCACTCTCATGTTTGATACTAAGACATGTTTTACTAAAAGAATCATGCAAAAAAATTAAATAGTTAATTGTTCAGCTGGGCATCCAATGAGAGAAAAGAAACAAAATTCAAGATTCCTCTACACACATTAAATTTTGCCTCAGATGGAATTTCTTGTGTGTAATAAGGGAAGAATGTTGTGCGAAACACAGTCTGTCGTCTGGTTATTTGAATGATTACTCCCCTATGTGTAACCTTACATGATTTATAAGGCTAGACCTAGTACTGAAATCTTTCCCACAATCCGGACATTCATACGGTTTCTCTCCTGTATGAGTCCTCCGGTGTATCACCAAATTGGAATTCCAACTGAAATTTTTCCCACATTCAAGACACTTATACGGTTTTTCTCCTGTGTGAGTCCTCTGGTGTCTCACCAGGTAGGAATTTTGACTGAAACTTTTCCCACAATCTGGACACCGATATGGTTTTTCTCCTGTGTGAGTTCTCTGGTGCATCAGCAGGTGGGAATTCCGAGCGAAACTTTTCCCACAATCTGGACAGTGATACCGTTTGTCTCCGGTATGAGTTCTCTGATGTACCACCAGGTGAGACTTCCGACCGAAACTTTTCCCACAATCTAAACATTTATACGGTTTTTCTCCCGTGTGAGTCCTCTGGTGTTCCACCAGGTGGAAATTCCATCTGAAACTTTTCCCACAATCCAGGCACTCATATGGTTTTTCTCCTGTGTGAGTCCTCTGGTGTTCCACCAGGTGGGAATTCTGACTGAAACTTTTCCCACAATATAGACACTCATATGGTTTCTCTCCTGTGTGAGTTCTCTGATGTTTCACCAGGTAGGAAATCTGACAGAAACTTTTCCCACAATCTGGACACTCATATGGTTTTTCTCCTGTGTGAGTCTTCCGATGTCTCACCAGATTGGAATTCTGACTGAAACTTTTCCCACAATCTGGACACTCATATGGTTTCTCTCCCGTGTGAGTCCTCTGGTGTATCAGCAGCTCAGAATTCCATGTGAAACATTTCCCACAATCAGAACATTCAAACTGTTTCTCGCCAGTGCAAGTCCTCTTTTGTCTTACATGTATGCGCATTGTAATCCTTTTGCCACTGGTAGAGATTCTCTCCAATAGGGTTCTTCCATCAATCATGAGGAAGCTTTTCGGAGTAAAGCTTTTGTTGCATTCCAAACATTCCTATGGCTTTTCATTTGGTGGATCCTCTTATGCATAGTCAGCTGTGATCTACAATATGTTTTCAGCCCACATTATGCGGTCTGTGTTGTTTTTCCAACATTCATATTATTAGATTTTTGTGGAAGCCAAAAATATTTCTGATCTCTTACTTGGAGGTTCTTTGATTCAAGCCATTCTTTCCTTCCTCAAAGAATTCAAATAATGCCTGCCCAATCTGGCTATCCAAGGGACCTTTTCCTTTCCACTGACTTCCAGGAATTTCCCACTTTTTCTTTACTTGGAAATTATCCTCCTTGCCTTCTCATTTAATGCTTTCATAAAGTCTATTTTTTCCAGCTCAAAAGGTTGTTCTTGTTATTCTCTCCCTTGTCTCTCATCTGCTGAGGAATGAAAAGAGGTTTTCACTTTCCAGAGGAAGGGAAAAATTTTTGTTTGATGGCTTGTTTTCCTTTTTAATGCTGCTTCTCAGTTTCTGTTTTCCACAGTAATCTCCTTACCATCCTTTGTCTGTAAGATTCATATGAATGAGTTAGTTTCATTATTGTCTAAAAAATGGCTGCAGAACATGTGAAACAGGAAAAGCACCCACATATATTAACATGGAAAAAAAAGACTAAAATCGTAGTTTAAGCTCTAACATTAATTATGATTCATTTGGCATATAGAAGGCTAGCAAGATCCAAGCTCAAATATCGAATCAATTACAATATTCTCTTTTTGGCTTGGATAGATCACACAAATATGCACGCCTCTCTGCACAGAGATAAAAACCTATGAATTTATGTATGTAGGCAATGTATATGTATCAAGTGTGCAAAATGTCCCAAAAGTGCATCCACTCAAACTTTTTATTTAAATTTACAAAGGTGGAGACAATAATAGATGAAATGATGCCCAAATGCTATGCAAGATTTAAAGCATCCGCATTGCCCATGAAACTGATGGGCGCTTAAAAACTATAAAAAAAAAACATATAAATATTTCTTTAAATCTCCCACCTCCCAGCAGAAAATCACAGGCAGCAGATTTTAAATCCCCAGAGGAATAAAATTTGGGGAGGGGAAGAATATACAGCAGCAGCAGCCCCCATGTTTCAACCTCGTTGCTTCCTCTGCTTCATACCCCGTGGAGGAACCCAAAGAGCCCGACTTCCTCCGGGCTTCTCCTCCGACCTTCCCTCCACTCACCTCCCAGCAGCCGCTTCCACCCTCCAAGCAGCACAAGAGGCTCCGCCGACGCCATTATCCTTGGGTGAGCCGGAAGAGGAAGTTCCTCTGACCTTCGCCTCCTCTCCTCCACATCCCCTCTAGGAATACGGCCCCAGGGCGAATCAATGAACTCTCTAGGAATACAATACTCTATCGTTATCAACCCGTTCCAGCCCAGCCTCTGCTTCTTCCCTAGAATACCTCTGCCGCCGCTGTACCGTAGTTTATTCCTGGACGCGAGTAGGGCGCCCTCTGGCGACGGAAGGCCGAAGACCACGCTCGTTCTATCTACCCTAAGGCGCTTGAAGATATTCTCATGGATTCTGTTCTTCCTTGTGTGCCATCAAGTCCTATTCGACTCCCACCGAGCTCATCGGTAGCTTTTCTCCCTGAGGCTCCATCCCAAAACCTTTTCTTTCAGGTCCCCCAAAAGGGCATCCATTGTCCCTGGAGTTGAGCCCGAAGCTTCGTTTGCAAAGAACGGCCACTAAACCAAAGGAAAGCGCCCTTTGGAGGGGGTGGGGTGGGGCTGCAAATAGGAAGGGGGGAAAGTCCTCCCCCCTTGGTTCCAGACAGTTTTTCCTCTGGAGGGAAGCAGGATAACTTCTCAAAAACCTGCCTCTGTAACTTAGTGAAGCTGTAAGAACGAAGCTTGACCCCTCGCCCCTGTGATTTTATTTTCATTTACTTCCATGTTCAGCTAACAAGCTCGGTATTTCTTATTGGTGCTCCACCCCTTTTTAGCAATGGAAATTCTGGCACCAATTCCTGTCGCAAATTGAGAACTACCCATATTTCTTTTCCAAGCTCAAGAGAGGGCTGGAAGCGTAATTCCCCACCCCATCCCCGCGCTTTACACCTTCAACAGCCGTTTGTAATGCATAATAAAATCATGAGAGGTTTTCCTGGCAGAGGAATTCAAGGCATTGCTGCAGATTAAGATCTTTTATAAGTGCAGCTGAAGAGGGCAATGAAAGGTTGGCAGCCTGGGACTTCAATTCACCCTCTGCTTCCAGCTCTGACTTTGCCACCTGGAGAAAGGGCTGTGCAGGAGGAGAAAAACACCTGGGCCCTTCTCAGTCTGGGTTCAGGCCAGGGCACATCACCAAAACGGTATTGGTTGCAATTATCATGGACTTTTGGAGGGTTTGAGATAGATGGGACTACAACCATTATATCCCTCATAGACCTCCCATCAGGTTTCAGTACATCAACCAGGATATCCTTCTGGACCAGCTTTGGAGACAGGAAATGGGAGGCACTTTATTACTGTGGTTCTACTTCTGCCTCCGTGGCTGGTTCCAGTGGGTATTGGTAAAAGAGGGCCTGAGTCTTGGCCTCTTCAATTTGGGATGTCTCGTGGCTCAAGCCTTTTGCTCCTCCTTTTTAACATATCTAATTATATACAGGCAGTCGTGGACTTTTTTGGAGCTCCCTGACCATCAAAATTCCATCAACCTTGCTAAAAGTGTCCTATACAGGTAATCCCCAATTTACGAGCATTCATTCATTTAGCGCCCATTCGAAGTTACGAGATAAATGCCCCCTAGTGTTTACGATCAAGTCCCGAAATTACGAATGTTGCAGCGCCACAGCAGTTGTTCGGCCTTATGAAGACTGCAGAGGGTGTGCAACATTCACACCTATTTCCCACCCCCCTCTCCCCACAACTGCTTCCCTTTCCCATCCTGCCACGCCAGACTAACAAGATCTGGCTCCACTCTGCCTCAAAGGTTTCTTTGCCTTTGAGGGAGAGGAGAGTCAAAAGAACTCTCCTCTCCACTCTCAGTGCTGTAATATCACAAGAGTTCTGGCACCCCCATCCTCTTTTGCAGAAACTGGGTGCCTGAACTCTTGTGAGTTCACGGACCCCAGAAACTTTTATTCTCCACACAAAAAGCGTTTACGGTGCCTGTCTCCTGCTTCTCCATCCGCCATCTCCTTTCCGCCACCACCGGGACACTTTTCACCTAGAGACCTGATGGAGATTAGAAGCTTCATTTGTGTGCAAATGGGGCAATTGAAAATGGAGCGAATCACTCAGTTTCCAAACGCCCCATTTACAAGCAGACAAAACTTCAACGTACAAGATTCACTCCTACGAATGAAGTTACAAATAGAATGGTGAGGCTCCATTACATTTGTAACTCGAGCATTACCTGTACTTGCAGGACAAGTACATGTTAAATGTGGAGGCTTTGTATTTTGCCATTTGCAATATGTAGGGTTTATTGATTTCTGTAGTAGGGTTTTATTGCTGCAAGCTGCCCAAAGTCAACAGGAATTGGGCTGCGATATACATTTTTAAAATAAATCATACATACTTATACATATTTATATCCCCCTTTATGATATGTACAAATACCTCAAGGCGGCAAATATAACTAATACAGATCTAAGCTTGCTTTCCCTGGCCCAGCACCTCGACTCCATGAAAGGAAACTGCAGCACTGAACCAGAGAAAGAAAGCTCACATCTCCCCCCCTCATATTTTGATACTACGACACATTTGACTAAAAAGAATCAAGCAAGAAATTAATGCATCAAATTTTGGCTTGTGTGTGATTTTTTGTGTATGAAAAAATTTGAATTCTGTGTGAAACACTTTCCACAATCTGGGCACTTGAATGGTTTCTCCCCTGTGTGTAACCTTACATGATTTATAAGGCTAGACCTGGTCCCAAAATCTTTCCCACAAACTGGACACTCATACGGTTTCTCTCCTGTGTGAGTTCTCTGGTATATCACTAAACTGGAATTCCTTATGAAACCTTTTCCACAGTCAGGACACTCATATGGTTTTTCTCCTGTGTGACTCCTCTGGTGTATCACCAACCCGGACTTACGAAGGAAACTTTTCCAGCAAAACGGACACTGATGTGTTTTTTCTCCTGTGTGAATTCTCTGGTGTTTCACCAAGTAGGAATTCTGAGTGAAACTTTTACAACAATCTGGGCACTGGTACTGTTTGTCCCCCGTGTGAGTTCTCTGATGTACCACCAGGTTAGAATTTCGATTGAAACCTTTTCCGCAATCAGGACACTTATATGGTTTCTCTCCTGTGTGTGTTCTCTGATGTACCACAAGCTCGGAATTCCAATTGAAACGTTTTCCACAATCTGGACACTTATGTGGTTTCTCTCCTGTGTGAGTCCTCTTGTGTATAACCAGGTAGTAATTCTGACTGAAACTTTTGCCACAATCCAGACATACAAATGGTTTCTTTCCTGTATGAGTCCTATGGTGTTTCACCAGGAAAGAATTCTGACTGAAACTTTCCCCACAATCCTCACACTTATATGGTTTCTCTTTCATGTGAGTCCTCTGGTGTATCACCAGCTTGGAATTATGCTGGAAACTTTTCTCACAATCTGGACACTTATATGGTTTCTCTCCCATGTGACTCTTCTGGTGTTCTACCAGGTAGGAATTGCAACTGAAACTTTTCCCACAATCCAGGCACTCATAGGTTTTTTCTTCTGTGAGAATGCTCTGATGTACCATCAGATGGGTATTGCAACTCAAACGTTTCTCACAATCTGAACACTCATACAATTTCTCTACCATGTGAGTCCTCTGGTGTTTCACCAGGGAGGAACTGTGACTGAAACCTTTGCCACAATTCAGACATTCATATGGTTTTTCTCCTGTGTGGGTCCTCTGGTGTATCACCAGGTTGTAATTCTGACTGAAACCTTTGCCACAATACAGACACTCAAATGGTTTCTCTCCTGTGTGAGTCCTCTGATGGAGCACCAGTTTAGAATTCTGCTTGAAACCTTTCCCACAATCTGGACACTCATGTGGTTTTTTTCCCCATGGTCGTCATCTCGTGTTTCAACTTAACAGATTGGGAGCACTGGTAGAGCTTCTCTTTTGTAGAAATCATTCCACGAATCATGAGAAAGCTGTTCTGATTAAAGCTTTTGCTATACGCCAAACATTTGTATGGATTTTCGTTGGGTGGATCCTCTTCCCATAATCAGTTGTGATTTACAAACAATAAGCTGTCTGTAGGGTTTTTCCAACACTAATATTCTTGGATTCTTGAGGCGGCCAACAATATTTCTGATCTCTTACCTGGAGGTTCTTTGATTTATGCCGCTCTTTCCTTCTTCAAAGGCTTTAATTGATGCCTGCCCATTTTGGCCATCTGGGCCTTTTCCTTCCCACTGACTTCCAGGTACTTCCTACTTTTTATTTGGAAATTATCCCCTTTCACGTCCCATGTAATATTTCCTTGAGTTCCATATTCTCTGTTTATTCCAGCTCAAAACTGCTCGTTATTCTCTCCCTTGTTTGTCATCTGATAAGAGCAGTTTTTACACTGCCTGAAGAAAGTAGAAAAGATCTTGATTGATGGTTTGTTTTGCATTTTAAGGCTGCTTCTCATTTTCTGTTCTCCAGATTGCTGTTCTTGGCTTTCTTTTTGTCTGTAAGATTCATATTAATGGATTAGTTTCATTATTGTATAAGAAGATGGCTGCATGATATGTGGAAGCAGCAAAAAAACATCCCCAAATATTACCATGAAGCATCAAAATTCTAGTTTAAGCTCTAACATTAACTATGATTCATTTGGCGTATAGAAGAATAGCAGGATTCATGTTGAAATATTGACTGAATCATAAAATTCTTTTTAACTTGAATAGACCACACATATCTCTCTCTTTTATTCTACATCTCTACTACTCTACCGTGTTTCTTCGAAAATAAGACCCTGGTCTTATTATTTTTTTGAACCCTGAAATAAGCACTTGGCCCTATTGCCATGTGCTCAAAAGCCTGATTGGGCTTATTATCAGGGGATGTCTTATTTTGGGGGAAACGGTATATCACTAAAATAACCCTGTGGTTTACTATCCCTTTCTTCTCCTACATGTGGGGAGCAATGACACAACAATGAATCTGAAAACAAGAGATGACGAATACCTAGGAAAGAAAGTTAAAGAAGTAGGAGCATAAGAGGTGTTTTCATCTATACTTCCAACAAAAGGCCAACATCCAATGATGCTCCCGCAAATGGTTTTAGAAATGAACTACTGGCTTAAAAACTGGTGTTGTCAACAGGACTTCGGCTTCCTAGACCATGATTTGCATTACTTACATGAAGGGCTACTGGCAAGGGATGGAGTGAACCTTCACAAGAACTGGAAAGAATATATTTGGAAAATGACTGGCTCATCTTTTCAGAAGGGCTTTAAACTGAAATTGAGGGGGAGGGAGAGCCAATCTTCACGACCTTTAGAACGTAATTCCAAGCAAAAACCACTAAATAACCAATCACATAGGGAGTAAAGAGAAAGAAATAAAAAGAAGAAAAACATAATGAAGTTGATTGAGACTGATGGAAAGGATGTAAATCCCAGTTACAAAGTAAGAGATATAAGAAACATATCCAAGACCCATAAAGGACTCAAATGCCCATACACCAACGCTAAAAGTTTAGGGAACAAACAGGGTGAGCTTGAAGTATTAGTACATGAAGGCAGATATGATATAATTGCCATTACTGAAACTTGGTGGGATGAAACTCATGACTGGAATGTCCTGATAGAGGGATACAAACTATTCAAAAGAAACAGAAACTCGACCTCCTCTAACAAAAGAGAAGGTGGAGTTGCATTATATATAAAAGATCACTACATCTCTCCGCCTTTCTGCTCTGGGTCGGTGCGATTCAGATAAAATACTAGCAGATGGCGATAGTTGCAATGACCTCCAAGGTCCCTTCCAACTCTGTTACTGTAACAGGCAGTAGAGAGAAAGCAGAGATGCTTAACTCTTATCTTTGCATCAATCTTCATCAAAATGAAACTATAGCCCAACCTACCAAAAACATAACCGTAAAAGACAGATAAGAAATAAAAATTAAAATAAGCAAGAAAAAGAGGACACCTATCTGATTGATCTTGATGAATATAAATCACTTCCCAGAGTTCTGAAGGAACTGATAGATGTTATTTCACAACCATTGTACCATATCTTTAAAACATCCTGGAGCACTGGGGAATTACTAGAGCCGTGATGGCGAATCTGTGGCCCGCGGAGCCATATCTGTGGGGATGCGAGCTTTGCCCTGACTGGGCTCCAGCGTGCATGCGTGTGCTGGCCAGCTGATTTTCGGGCCTTCCGGGCACACTGGAAGTTGGGAAACAGCCATTTCTGGACTCTAGAGAGCCTCCGGGAGGGTGGGGGAGGACATTTTTGCCCTCCCCAGGCTCCAAGAAAGCCTCTGGAGCCTGGGAAGGGGAAAAAACGAGCCCACCAGGCCCACCAGTAATCTTTTTGCCATTGCGTGCCAAAAGCAGGGAGAGAGCGGGAGGGGGGTCGCGGATGCATGCGTGGGGGGGCACTGAATTATGGGTGTGCGCACACACATGCGTGACCCCCCCCATATCCCCCCCGCTTTTGGCATGCAATAGCAAAAAGGTTAGCCATCACTGTACTAGAGGATCGGAAAAGAGCTGATGTGGTTACCATCTTCAAAAAATAATAATAATAAAAAAACCCAGACCCGGAAAACTGGAGACCAATTATCTATGGAGATTCTCAGTCATCCAGATCACGGTTGTCCCAAAAGTGCTTTTTAAGGAGGCAACTGGACTTTCTTGTTTTTCTTTGAAGACATTTCACTTCTCCTCCAAGCTTATTCAGCTCTGACTGGATGGTGGGGAATGGAACGATTTATATTCCTTGCAGACAGATGGAGAGTTGGTGAGGCCACTTGGAGATTTATCTGTGTCTTCAGAGTCACCTGGGTAGTAGAAATGGGTGTGGAGCCTTCTTGGAACTGCTGAATTCCTCTTTCGAGGCCTCAAAATTGAACAGCCCTCTCTCAACAGAGGGGGAGGGATATGACATCATCTATCTCCAGTCTACAACACAGTCATTTCAGCAGTTCCAAGGCTACTCATCCATTTGCACTACCCAGGTAACCCTGAGGTCACAGATAAACCTCCCACCCCAGCTCCCCAAAGGGGAAAAACATCATGAAACATCACACGACAGCAACGTGATGCTGCGAGTTTGACACCATGCTCTAAAAGGATGCAAATGCAAAGAAGAGCAACTAAGATGATTAAGAGGCTGGAGACAAAAATATATGAAGAATGGTTGAAGGAATTGGGTATGGCCAGTCTAGAGAAAAGAAGGACTAGGAGGGACATGATAGCAGTATTCCAGTATTTGAAGGGCTGCCACAATGAAGAGGGAGTCAACTTATTTTCAAAGCATCCAGAAGGCAAGGCAAGAAACCATGTATGGAAACTAATCAGGGAGAGAAGTAATCTGGAATTAAGGAGAAGCTTCCTAACAGTGAGGACAATTTACCAGTGGAACAAATTCCATCTAGAAGTTGTGGGTGCTTCGTTCCTGGAGGTTTTTAAGAAAAAACTGGACAGCCTCCTATCTGAAATGGTAAAGGGTTTCCTGCTTCACCAGGGGGTTGGAGTAGACAACCTCCAAAGTCCCTTCCGGCTGTAATCTGATTGATACATGCACGCATATACACACAGAAATACACACATATGAATTATGTATGTAGAAAATCTGTGTGTATTTCAGTGGGCGAAACATGCCAGAAGTGCATTTTCTCAATTTTTTTTAATCTAATTTTAGAAAAATGGGGACACTAAGAGAAAAAATGGTGCCCAAATCCTATGCAATATTTTTTTTTTAATTTGATTTATATGCCGCCCTTCTCTGGAGACTCAGGGCGGTGTACAATGCGTTAAGCAATAGCCTTCATACTTTTGTATATTTTTATACAAAGTCAGTTTATTGCCCCCACAAACTGGGTCCTCAATTTACCTACCTTAGAAAGGATGGAAGGCTGAGTCGACCTTGAGCCTGGTGAGATTTGAACTTGCAGTAATTGCAGGCAGCTGAATGTTAATAACAGGCTATTAGTCTGCTGTGCCACCAGGCTCTATTTAATATTTAAAGCATCTACCTTGCTCATGAAACTCCTCACCTACCAGGAAAACAACATGTCAAGGAATAAAGTATTACGTGAAGACAGAGGGAGGGAGGGAGGGAGAGAGAGAGAGAGAGGGAGAGAGAGAGAGAGAGAGAGAGGTGAGAGTTATGAAAAATACGGATTTTTTAAATCTCCCAGATGTCAAAGGGTCTTTGTACTTCTGGCTCAACCCCCCGCTCAAGTAAGAGACCCTATACCATTTCAGACAAGTGACTGTCCTGTCTCTTCTTAAAAACCTCCAGTGATGAAGCACCCACAACTTCTAGATGGAATTTCTAGATGTTCCACTGGCTTATTGTCCTCACCGTTAGGAAGTTTCTTCCTTAATTCCACGTTGCTTCTCTCCTTGATTAGTTTCCATCCATTGTTTTTCGTCCTGCCTGCAGGAGGTTTGGAAAATAAATTGACCCCCTCTTCTTTGTGACAGCCTCTCAAATACTCGAATACTGCTATCATGTCCTCCCTAGTCCTTCTTTTCTCTAAGTCTAGACCAGGGGTGGGCTCTAACCAGCTTTACTACCGGTTCTCTTTGTGCTCATGCTTCACGTGTGATCACCTCTTCGGTCGCACACTTTGTGCGCGATTGCCATGCGCATGCTCGGTTTGCTTGCCTGCGTGCCAAACTTGTGCTTTGCGCAGGCGCATTGCGAATCTGCCCAGCTGAGGTGTGGCAATCCACTCTGCCGCACCTCTCAGCTGGGTGAAAAAAGAAGAAATTTAAGGTCGGCATAATGCTGGGGCGGGCGGGAGGGCCCAGCTCCCGAAGACAGAGAACCGGTTCGGTGACGTCATATTGTCACCGCTACCGGCTCTCGCGAACCGGGAGGAACCCACCACTGGTCTAGACCAGTGTTTCTCAACCTTGGAAGCTTGAAGATGGTGGACTTCAACTCCCAGCGCTGCTGTCTGGGGGATTCTGGGAGTTGAAGTCCACCCATCTTCAAGCTACCAAGGTTGAGAAACACTGGTCTAGACTAAACCATTCCCAAATCTGCAAGTCTTCTTCATATGTCCCCTTTCAATTATAGTCTCTCCCATTTCCAAGCAAAAAAAAAATAAAAAAATATCAAAGGCAGCAATTTAAAATGATGCAGCAAAAAGATAAAAACATTTGGGGAGAGAAAGAATATGCAGAAGCAGCAGCAGCAGCCAAGTTTCAGCCTCGTTGCTTCCTCTGCATCTACCCCTTGGAGGAAACCAAAGAGCCCCACTTGCTCCAGGCTTCTCCTCCCATCTGCCTACAGCTCGCCTTCCAGCTGCTGCTGCTTCCACCCTGGGAAGAGCAGGACTTCCGCTCTCCACGACTCCATGGAGGAGCCGGAAGAGGAAGTTCCTCTGCTCTTCTCCTCTCCTCAATACTCGCTGGTTTTAACGCCTTTCACCTCAGCTGCGCCCCCTCCAGTTGAATGTCGGATCTCAGCCACCAAGGATACCGCTATTATATTGACGGATTGCCAGACGCTCGTGTTGTTAGAGCTCCCCCTAGTGACGTGAGGCTGAAAATACGCACATCAGGAGTTTCTAACGTGTTTTTTTCTCTTTTTTTAATGTTTTCCACTCTTAGCCATCACATCCATAAGTTTTTTTCTCTAGGATGATCTAGCCCTAGTCTGTCCTTTGGGGTCTCGCAGGGATGCCCACATTGCTACTGCAACTGAGCCAGGAGCTTCTTTTGCAGGAAGTAAACAAGGGAAAGCAATCCGTGGGGAGAACACAATGTGCCATCAGGCAACAAGAAAGCGCACCTCCCTTGGAGATCAGTGGAGTCTTCCAGCCAGTTCTTCTTCCCTTTAGGGGTGCAGGATAACTCCCCAAAATTATATTTGTAACTGAGGGAAGCTTGAAGAGCAAAGTCTGTAATAAAAAATCATTAAAAAAAAAGAAGAGCAAAACCTGACCATACTTACTTTCACAAGATTAGCCAGGTACTGCATCATAAAAGTTGATAAAGGTCTTGTGTGTATGTGTAGCCTTAAATGAAGATTGCCAGCTTCATCCCATTAATAAAAGGAAGGGACAAAAAAACCCACTTGTTTCCAAACACATCTATGCAAGAGATATTATTTTTCCATCTGCATTCTTGCAGGGCCTAAATCTCACTAGAGGGCAGAATTCCTCTGAGCAGCCTTCCTAATTTCCAGGAGTTAAGATTCCACCACTGAATATTCCCAGGCAGCTTGGGCAAAATCTTTGGAGAGCGCTAGCTTGTAGAAAGCTGTTCTAGAGTCCTGGGCTTTAGCACTTGGCTCCCAATTCTTCTTCCAGGCCCAGAAAGGAGCAGGCCTGGAAACCACCCACTTGCCCATAGCTCTCAGCTGCTGACCTGCTTGACTGGGACTCCTATCTCTTCCCACATCAGAGTCACATGAAATACTCACTTAATGACCCACGTGGTCCTGGAGTTATAATAACAAGTGGAAGTGCTGGAATTGTCCTCATTAAATGATGTGGTCACTTTTTATAAGCTCATTATGAAAATTCACATAATGTGCACACAGTAATGAGAGTCCTTAGATTGCCTGTGTAACATGTTTGTGATGAGAGCTGCACTGGATTGATTTCTTTACAGGGTACAATTCAAATTACTGGTCATCCCCTTTAAACCTATTTATTATAGCAATAACATATAGACACAGATACCACCACAGAATATTTTACAGCAGTCTCCCTTTACAGTCAGCATATTTCCCCCAACAATCTGGGTCCTCATTTTACAGATCTCAGAAGGATGGAAGCTGTCAACCTCAAGCCCCGTCAGGATCAAATGACAGACTGTGGGCAGAGTCAGCTGGCAATACTGCATTCTAAGCACTGTGTCAATAGGGCACCTGACATTATTCTCCCACCTTTATTATTTTTGCATCTACTTGTTCTACTGGTTGAGATGGGGGTAGGTAGGCATGCTCCTTGTCCATTCCTTTAAATTTTGATGATAGGAGGTAGGAAGTCAGCCTTTTTTACTGCAGCTCCATCCCTATGGGAACACTCTTTCCCATAAAATTTGGCAGGCCTTTTTCCTCCTAAAGGTTTCCTCTGTCTGTCATCTCCAATTCTAGGAGGCAGTGCTCATCTCTGTTGCTTAGCTGAATTTTGTTGCTGGGCAGGTTTCTTTCGCTGGCCCACCATATTTACCATGTTTAACACAAAGACATGTTTGATTAAAAAGAATCAGCTGAGAAATTAAAATGGTTAATTTCTCAGCTGAGCTTGCATTGAGAGATCAGAAATGATATTCAAGATATCTCTACATACATCAAATTACACCGTGTGGAATATCTTCTGTATGATAAGAGAGGAATTTTGTCTGAAACACTGTTAGCAATCTAGGCATTAAAATGGTTTCTCCCCTATGTGTAACCTTACATGATTTATAAGGGTAGACATATTACTGAAATCATTCCCACAATCCAGATATTCATTACGGTCTCGATCCTGTGTGAGTCTTCTGGTGTATCACCAGCTTGGAATTCTGAATGAATTTTTTATCACACTCCAGACACTCATATGGTTTTTTGGCATGAATTCCCTGGTGTATCACCAGGTTGGAACTCTGAGTGAAACATTTCCCACAATCCAGGCACTCATATGGTTTGATGCCTGTATGAGTTCTCTGGTGTAACACCAGGTAAGAATTCCGACAGAAACTTTCCCCACAATCAGGACACTTATATGGTTTCTCTCCTGTATGTGTCTTCTGGTGTATCAGAAGTTGGAATTCTGCTTGAAACTCTTTCCACAATCCAGACACTTATATGGTTTCTCTCATATGAGTTCTTTGGTGTTCCACCAGGTGGGAATTTCGACTGAAATGTTTCCCACAGTCCAGACAATCATATGGTTTCTCTCCTGTGTGAGTGCTCTGGTGTAACACCAGATTGAAATTCTTACTGAAACTTTTCCCACAATCCGGACACTCATATGGCTTCTCTCCTGAGTGTGTCCTCTGGTGTATAACCAAGTCGTAATTCTGAGTGAAACTTTTCCCACACTCCAGACACTCATATGGTTTTTCTCCTGTGTGAGTCCTAAGGTGTACCGCCAGCTTAGAATTCCAAAAGAAACCTTTCCCACAATCAGGACATTTATATGGTTTCTCTCCTGTGTGAGTTCTCTGGTGTTCCACAAGGTGGGAATTTCGACTGAAACTTTTCCCACAATCCAGGCACTCATACGGTTTCTCTCCTGTGTGAATCCTCTGGTGTATCATCAGGTTGGAATTCTGAGTGAAGCTTTTCCCACAATCGTGACACTCATATGGTTTCTCCCCTGTGTGAGTCCTCTGGTGTATCACTAGTGTGGCATTCCGAGTGAAACTTTTCCCACAATAAAGACACTCATATGGTTTCTCTCCCATATGAGTCCTCTGGTGTCTCAACAGCTTGGAATTCTGAATGAATTTTTTCCCACACTCCAGACACTCATATGGTTTCACTCCTGTGTGAGTTCTCTGGTGTATCACCAGTTTGGAAGTCTGACTAAAACCTTTTGTACAATGTGGACACTCATACAATCTCTCTCCCGTGCGAGTCCTCTGATGCTTCATCAGATCAGACTTCAAATATAAGTCCTACAATAAGGACACTCATATGGTTTCTCTTCAGCTTGAATCCTCTGGTGTATCACTAGGTGGGAATTCACAGTGAAACTTAATCAGGACATTCAAAGGGTTTCACTCCAATGTGAGTTTTCTTGTGTCTCACCAGAGTGGGGTGGCATCCTAAAGCTTTTGCCACATTGGGATCACTGGTAGGCCTACTCCCGGTGTGAGTATTTCCATGTGGGAGCTGTTCTGAGTAAAACTTTTGCCCCTCTATGAGCATTTGTATGGATTTTCATTGGTGTGGACCCTCTCTTGCATAATTAGCTGTGATCTACAATCTGTTGTTTTTTTCGACAATAGGCCCACTCTGTGTTTTTCTAACACTGATATTCCTTCATAACTGAGGCGGCCAAATATATTTCTGAGCTCTTACCTGCAGGTACTTTGAAAGCCCTTACAAAGGCTTTCATTAATGCCATTCCATTTCGGCTATCCAAGGGAAGTTTTCCTTCCCACAGGCTTCGTTATTTCCACTTTTTCTGAATTTGGAAATTATCCCCTTTGACTTTTCATGTAATCTTTCTTTGAGTTCCACATACTCCATTGTTTCCAGCTCAAAACTTTGTTCTTGTTATTCTTTCCCTTGTTTCTCGTCTTCTGAGGAAAGAGAAGAGTTTTTATACTTTCTGGAGGAAGTGGAAAAGATTTTGGTTGATTTTTTGTTTTTGTTTTAACGCTGCTTCTCATTCTCTGTTATTTACAGTCCTCTTCTTAGAATCTTCTTTATCTGTAAGATCCATATGAATGAGTTAGTATCATTATTGTTAAAAAGAAATGGCTGCAGAAACATGAGGAAACACCAAAAAAAAAAAAAAAGCCCCACATTTATTACCATGGAAAAGTATCAAAATGGTACTTTAACCTGTAATAATTATGGTTCATTTGGCACATTAAAAAATCTAAGTTCAAAACTCCACTCAATCCTTTTCTTTTTGCACTGTGTAAATCATATTAGCATTGAAAATTGTTATAAAATATTCCTGTTTATTGTTTATTTCAGTCTGCAAAATGTCCCAGAAGTGTATTCGCTCAAATGATTTGATCTCATTTTAGAAAGGTGGGACACTAACGGATGAAATGATGCCCAAATCCCATGCAAGATTTAAAACGTCTGTTTTGCCCATGAAACTCCACATTTGACAGGTCAATAAAACGGGTCAATAAAATCAGAAGGAATTCAAGAGTTATGTGGAGACTGAGGGAGATGTAAGGTTAAGGAATATGAAACAAATCAATATAAAGATTTTTTTAAATTCCCCAAATCTCCCATTGGTAAAACCACAGGCAGCAGTTTTAAGTAGTGCAGCCTCAGAGGAATAAAATTTGGGGAGGGAAAGAATATGAAGCAGCAGCAGCCGCCATGCTTCAGCCTCTTTTCTTTCTCTGCTTCATACCCCGTGGAGGAACCCAAAGGGCCCGACTTTCCCCCGGCTTCTCCTCCGACCTTCCCTCCACTCACCTCCCAGGAGCCGCTTCCACCCTCCAGGCAGCACAACAGGCTCCGCCGACGCCATTGTGGGTAAGCCGGAAGAGGATGTTCCTCTGCCTTTCGCCTCCTCTCCTCCACGTCTTCTCTACAATGCATTACTCTATCGTTCCAACCCGTTCAATCTCAGCCTCTGCCCCTTCCCTAGAATAGCCGCTGTACTGTATTCACTGCTTTCTACGCTCCAGTGCCGCTTATTTGTGGAGCGCCATCTAGTGACATAAGATCGAAAATCACGCTCGCCCTTTCATTGAATTTTGCTTTCTTCTGTGTCATCAAGCCCTATTCGACTTCCACCGAGCTCGGCGGTAGTTTTTATCCATGGCCATCTATCCCACGCTTTTTCTTTCAGGTCTCCCAAGAGGGCAGTCATGGCCCCTGGAGCTGAGTGCAAGCATCGTTTGGAAGAAGCGGGAACTAAACCAAAGAAAAGCACCCTTGGGGGAATGATGTGCAAATAGGAAATGAGAGACTGGCGTAAACAATTGCCAGCTTCATCTCATTAATAGAAGAATGATACAGGACAAAACATTGAAGTGCCCACCCACATTGCTTCCAAACCTATCTAGACAGGAGATATTATTTTTCCATCTGCATTCTTGCAGGGCCTAAATCTCACTAGAGGGCAGAATTCCTCTGAGCAGCCTTCCCAATTTCCAGAGGAGTTAAGATTCCTGCACTGAATATTCCCAGTCAGCTTGGATAAAACATTTGGAAGGCGCTAGTTTATTGAAGGCTGATCTAAAGAGTTCTATGTAGTTGGTTTAGCTCACCCTCAAAACCTCTCTACATCCCAAAATGTTACGATGGAATCACCAGCAGGCCAGAGGCTCCAAGAGATCTAGCCTCAATCCTAGGTAGGATCTTGAAGCTAAGATTCCCCACAAGCTAGCTTTGTTCTTGTAGGAGGAACTTTTAAGCCTGCTAAATGCCATGTGCTTAGCACAGAAATCTCCATTAGGTCAAAGTAAGTGAGACACATATAGGTAGCCCTCGGCTTACAACCACAACTGAGCCCAAAATTTCTGCTGTTTAGTGAAACATTTATTAAATGAGATATTTATTAAGTGACTTTTGCTCCATTTTACCACCTTTCTGGCCAGAGTTGTTAAGCCAATCACTGCTGGTGTTAAGTTAGTCATGCAGTTGTTAAGTGAATCTGGGTTCCCCGTTGACTTGTCAGAAGGTTGCAAAAGGAGATCCCATGACTTCAGAACACTGTAACCATCATAACTATGAGGTAATTGCCAACAGTCTAAATTTTGATCATATGATCATGGGGAGGCTGCAATGGTCGTGTGAAAAATGGTCATAAATCACTTTTTTCAGTGCCGTTAAAAACAATAAATTGTTGCAAATCGAGGATTACCAGTACATACCAGGGCCTGGAGAAAGGGAGTTCGGAAAGAAGCTAACTATATTTGATAAACAAAACTAATAGTTTTCAAAGAAATCCTTGAAAGCGTTGTGAAAAGGATAGTAATATGCATGTGCAGAGGGATGCGGTGGCTCAGTGGCTAAGACACTGAGCTTGTCGATCAAAAGGTCAGCAGTTTAGCAGTTTGAATCCTTCCTTCCTTCTTTCTATCAAGTAATTGTTATACACATTCCTGTTTGAGAACTGTATCTCCTCAGCTGACCAGAAGAAAACCTTCTTAAAAATGGATTCTGGCCTGAAATCCATTCCTCAGAGAAATCCAGAGAGATGAGACAGACAGACAGACAAAGGGGGAGGGGGAGAGAGAAACAGAGATGAGAGAGAGACAGAGAGAGAGAGGGGAGAGAGATGAGAGATCCCCGTGTTTTGTTTTCTGTGGGAAACAGGTCCAAATGGCTCTTTGAGTGTTTAAGGTTGCAGAAACAGGCGGTCAAACTAACTGCCTGAAGGACCCCATCCCGTCACTGGGAGTCCAGGCGCTTCAGTGAGCGGCACACTGGATTCGTATTAGTGGTCCACGGGATTTAAAATTATGAATTTAGTGGTTCCTGAGGTCCGAAGGTTGGTGACCCCTGGCCTACACCACTCAGGAACTTCAACTATTCCAGAATACAGCAACACACAGAGTAATGTGGGGGACCTACGTTGCCCATGTAACGTTTTTTATTATGCAAGCTACACTGGATTCAGTTTTTTCCAGGGACAATTCAAAATGCTGCTCATCACCTTTAAAACTGTCTTGCCCGCTCACTCACTTATCTATCTACTACCTACCTACCTTACTTTTCCATCTGACTGTCCTAACATGTCAGATATGATAGGCGTACTCCTAGTCCCTTTCTTTAAATATTGTCATTTGATGGGAGCTCGGAAGTCTGCCTTTCTCATTGCAGCCCCTTCCTATATACCCTCTTCTCCCTGACATTGGGCAGGCCTTTAGTGTTCTGTAAAAACGTCATCAAACCCTAACTCCCACCCACCCACAAAGCACTGGGATAAGAAGAGGCGACTGCACATCAGAAGCTGGATTTGGCACCAGGTTTTTGTTTTTATGCGTATGATTTTAATAGTATGGTTTTTGTCTTAATTTTTGACAGGGAGCTGGCCAAAGTTTTCTTAACACAGATGGCTATGTAAATGTTTTAAATAAATCAAAAGCAACAGAGATGAATCAAAAGCTGGTCCTGTTAAACTGCCCATCTGCAAGTTGCTTGAGGCACAATGCATTTCTTTATCAAATGAATATGCCACTCGTCCCACAGCTAACTCCCCCAATGTAACTCCTCTGTCCACCTCCTATGATTCCGTTATTTTCTGTTAGCTGGGGATTTATGGAGCTTGAAATTTTGTGGTCACTCAGGTTGAAGGCGGCTGAAACTTTGCAGTTCAATGATCATTTCTGATCACAAAGCAAAAAACACCCCTAAAGCCATTTTTGCAGCAATTGCACAATTTCTGTTAAATATCTTGTTATTTAAACTTAGTAGCTGGAACAGTGGGGTTGTACAATGAGCCAGAACACACAATTATAATTGATTGGTTAGAGTGCTGGCTTCTGTTTGAGGCAATCTGTGCTGTGATTGGTTGCTGTGGGTATGAAGGAACTTCCTTTCCCTCCCTCTTTTTTCTTCTGTGTGCTCTGTGATTTAACTCATGCCTGAGTATCTTGTTTGCTGTAAATTAGATGTAAAATATATTTATTTACATAAAATTACAAGTCTGTGTGTCTATGACGTCATTTGGACACCAGCTGCGTGGTTCCCTGACATTCTATAAATCCTCATATAGCCAGATATATGTATTAATTTATAATAAAATAAGTATAATAAAATCAAAATAAAATTTTCCAATTATTTCTCTCTTCCATCATATCTAATACATGACAACTAAAAAGCATCAAGTAAGACATTAACTAATTTCTCAGAAACATTTCAAAATGGAAATTAAAAATGACATTTAGTTCTTCTCTACACCCATCACTTTCTGCACCAAATGGATTTTCTTATGTGCAACAAGGGAAGAATTTTGTGAGAAGCATCGTTCACATTCTGGACATTTGAATGGTTTCTCCCCTGTATGTAAACCTACATGATTTATAAGGCTAGACCTAGTACTGAATCCTTTTCCGCAATCTGGACATTCATACGGTTTCTCCCCTGTGTGAATCCTCTGATGAATCAGCAAGTCACACTTCCAACTAAAACTTTTCCCACAGTCTGGACACTCATAAGGTTTTTCTCCTGTGTGCAACTTCATGTGGCTGGTCAGATTTGATCTAGTATTAAAGCTTTTCCCACACTCTGGACAATCATATGGTTTCTCTCCAGTGTGAGTCCTCTGATGTATCATCAGATTGGAATTCCGACTCAAACTTTTCCCACAATCTGGACACTCATACTGTATGCCGCCCGTGTGAGTCCTTCTCCGGTGTATAATCAAGTTGGAATTCCGACTGAAACTTTTCTCACAATCTGGACATTCATACGGTTTCTCTCCTGTGTGTATCCTCTGGTGTATCACCAGGTAAGAATTCTGACTGAAACTTTTCTCACAATACAGACACTCATATGGTTTCTCTCCTGTGTGAGTCCTCTGGTGTATCACCAAGTCAGAATTTCGAGTAAAATTTTTCCCACAATCTGGACATTCATACGGTTTCTCCCCAGTGTGAATCCTCCGGTGTATCACCAGGTCAGTATTCCGACTGAAACTTTTTCCACACTCCAGACACTCATATGGTTTCTCTCCTGTGTGAGTCCTCTGGTGTATCACTAGGTGGGAATGCTGACTAAAGCTTTTCCCACAATCTGGACACTTATATGGTTTCTCTCCAGTGTGAGTCCTCTGGTGTGTTACTAGGTCAGAATTTCGAATGAATTTTTTCCCACAATGTGAACACACATACAATTTCTCTCCTGTATGAGTCTTCTGGTGTATCACCAGGTCAGAAGTTCGAATAAAACTTTTCCCACAATCTTGACACACATATGGTTTCTCTCCTGTGTGAGTCCTCTGGTGTATCACCAGGTTGGAATTTTGACGGAAACTTTTCCCACAATCCTGACACACATATGGTTTCTCCCCAGTGTGAGTCCTCTGGTGTATCACCAGGTTGGAATTCTGACTGAAACTTTTCCCGCACTCTGGACACTCAAATGGTTTCTCTCCGGTGTGTGTCCTCTTGTGTATCACCAGGGTGGCATGCTTACTAAACTTTTTGTCACACTGTGGGCACTGGTAGGGCTTTTCTCCAGTATGGGTTCTCTTATGCTCAAGAAGTTGGGACTTGTAGGGAAAGGCTTTGCTACATTCAGAGCATTTGTATGGTTTTTCACCAGTGTGGGTCCTCTGATGCATAATCAGCTCTGATTTGCAATCGGCGCTTTTCCCACAATATGCACATCTGTGGAGGTTTTCCACCTCTGATATGCCTGGGTTCTTGAGGAGGTAAAAAATATTTGTGATCCCTTCTTGGATGGTACTTTGATTTAAGCTGTTTTCTTCCTCATAGGGTGGGGCCTGCATTACTGTCTGAAATGACTGATTCCACCCCACAGACTTCTAGATATTTTCCCTTTTTTTGTGGATTTGAAAATGTTCCCCCTTTACCTTTTCATTTAATGTTTCCTTGAGTTCCAGATAAAATATTTTTTTCCAGCTCAAAACTCTTTTCCTATTTTTTTTTCCTCACTTGTTGCTCACTTGCTGGGGAAGAAGAAGTTTTGTGGCTTTCTGCAGGAAAGGATTTGCTTTCCTTCTGAGTACTGCTTCTCATTCTCTGCTGTCTAGAAGGCTCTTCTTGGCATTCTCTTTGTCTATAAGATTGACATAAAAGGGTTATTTTAATTACTATTTATAAAATGGTTGCACAAGATGTGGAAACAAGAAAAAAAAAGCATATATTACAATGAAAAATTAAAGTAACACATTAACTGCTAACATTCATCATGACACATAGTAAGATCCAAGTTCAAATATTCTCACAATTGTGAAATTTTCTTGGTGACTCGGGTGAATTTCAAAATGTTAGCATTTCAAATTGTTATCATCATATATACCGGGAAATACTGAGAATGGATTATACAGAGAAACATATATGCTCAAAGAAATACAGAAATGCGCCCCTATGCATGTATGTACGTACGCATGTAGAAAATATGTGTGTATTTTCTGTCTGCAAAAAGTTTCAGAAATAGGTACAAAGAATATGTGGGCATTAACAAAGGAAATGGTGCCCAAGGCAAGATTTAAAGCAACGGTTTTAGGCTGTGGGGGAGCAGTGGTTAGAATGAAGTATTAAAGGCTATCACTGCTCAGTGCCAGGAATTATTTGACTAGCTCAGCCTTTTGTAGAGACATAATAATAGTAGTCTCAGTAGAATTGGTTTGACTTGCTGTTTTGCTTCTGTAAGAATTGCTTTGCTAAGAATCGGAATTGCCAGTGATCTAACTTGTTTTTTTGTACATCTCGGTGCATGGAACGGAATATGTCATAGTTTGGCAGGATTAAAAAGGGCCTGATGGCTCAGCAGACTAAAAGCATTGTGATTAACACCAGCTGTCTGCAATTACTGTAAATTCGAATCTCACCAGGCTCAAGGTTGACTCAGCCTTCCATCCTTTCTAAGGTAGGTAAAATGAGGACCCAGTTTGTGGGGGCAATAGACTTTGTATAAATATACAAAAGTATGAAGGCTATTGCTTAATGCATTGTAAGCCGCTCTGAGTCTCCAGAGAAGGGCGGCATATAAATCAAATTAAAAAAAAAAATTACACCGGGCAAATACCTCTGTTCCTAAGCACCCAACCCTTCTGTTGCTAAGCACTCAGCTCCCCCTGTTCCATGCTGCACAGCCAATGCAGGGCTACAAGGAAAGCATGGGCCAGAGAGGCCAGAATTGGGTACTAACCTTATACCTTTGAAGGTATAAAACGTGCCATACCTTTCCCAAGGTGTGGCTATTCCTCACATGCATTGTATCTGTATGTTCTGGATATAACTTCATCCAGTATTTTGTTTTTGGCCCTAAATAAAATCTGCTTCTTTTTTGCAAGCCTTGTCTTGAGTCTCTCTCTCTCTTTGGCATTCTGGTGACTCAAGTACATTTTGAGACCTTACACTTCCATTCATTCAAGGTCAGTAAAATGAGGACCCAGATTGTTGGGGGCCATAGGCTGACTCTGTAAACCGCTTAGAGAGGGCTGTAAAAGCACTGTGAAGCGGTATGTAAGTCTAATATGCCAATAAAAACTCAAATCATCCAACCAAAAGTATCTATAAAAAGATTAAATCGTAGCCACTGGACCAAAGATGCTTCATCTGAGATGTTTGGCTTCCCATCCAGGAAATAAAATCATCATCACTCAAAATAAAAGAGTTTAAGTTAGGCAGAGACTCAAAGAGTGGTTGGAATCTACCAACTGCAGGGCTCTCTCTCCAAAATGTATTGCAATAAGTTTACCTACTGCTGGATGAAACGAGCCCGACTTGCTCCCGGATTCTCCTCCGACTCACCTTCCAGGAGCCGCTTCGCCACTTCAAGCAGGTGGGAAAACAGGCTTCCCTGTGCTTCTCTCCTCCTAATTCCCTCTAGCAATCCACGACTCTGTGGTCTCAATTCCTTTCAGTTCGGCTACAGGCGCTTGCTACTGTATTTGCGACTCTCCAGGCGTGCTTTGTTGCCTAATCATAGAGCGCCATCTAGCGTCCCATGGCCAGATCATCCTATCTCTAGCTTCCTAAGATTAGCCGGGTGCTGGCTGAGTCCTAAAAAGTTCACGAAGTTCTTGTTTTTTATCCGCAGCCCCTAAATGATTGACAGCCTGCCATCTATTCCTAGAATACTGCGGGACAAAACCTGGTATTGTCTACCCACGTTGTTTCCAACTTCATCTAAATAGGAGATACTATCATGTATTATTGGTATTCCTTGTACCAATAATTATTGGTATTATTGTATTATTGGGGAGTGCAGCCTTCCCAATTTCCACATTACTTTCAGCCTTGAGAATTCCCAGGCTGCTTGGGCAAAACACTTGGAGACCATTAATTGGCAGATTGGAAGCTGATCTAAAGATTCCAGCACTTTGGCAGGGTTTGGCTGTCACTGGAGATCAAAAACTCTCTACATCCTAACATTTTTATTACTGATTTACTTCAGAGACAGTTGTGGCTGTTCCTGGATCTGCAGGCCCTGGTTACGGTCAATCATGCCCTAGTTACTTGCATACAGGTAGTCCTGGATTTACAACCACGATTGAGCCCAAAATGTATGTTGCTAAGTGAGAAATTTGTGTTAGATGAGTTTTGCCCCATTTTACGACTTTTCTTACCATATTTGTTAAGTGAATCCCTGCAGTTGATAAGTTAGTAACACGGTTGCTAAGTGAATCTGTCGTCCCCATTGACTTTGCTTGTCAGAAGATCACAAGAGATGATCATATGACCTTGGGACACTGCAACCATCATAAACACGAACCAGTGGTCAAGCATCCAAATGTAAACCTGCTGCTACCGAAGACCTCCCATCGACCCGTGCGCTCCCACAGAGAGGGCCTCCTCGGGGTGCCATCAGCCAAACAGTGTAGGCTGGTGACCCCCAGGGGGAGGGCCTTCTCTGTGGGGGCACCTACCCTCTGGAATCAGCTCCCCCCAGAGATAAGGAGAATCCAGGACCTCAGTGCCTTCCGTCGTGCCCTTAAAACCCATTTTTTCAAGCAAGCCGGGCTGGCTTAAGAATAAATTTTTAAATGTTTTAAATGTTTTAATTGGTAGTGAGTTTTAATTGGGCCAAATTTATATATCTTTTAATTGTTTTTTAATATTTGTCCTGCATGTTTTTTGATTCTGGCTGTACACCGCCCTGAGTCCTCAGGGAGAAGGGTGGTATAGAAATTCAATAATAAATAAATAAATAAATAAAAATAAATCACATGACCATCAGCGTGGTGATACAGTCATAAGTGTGAAAAATGATCATAAGCCACTTTTTTCAGTGCTGTTCTAACTTCAAATGGCCACTAAATTAACTTTTATAAGTCAAGGACTACCTATATTGGATGACGTCAATAAACTTTATTTATTTGATTTATATGCTGTCCTTCTCCGGAGACTCAGGGCGGCTTAAAATGCTTTTAAGCAATAGCCTTCATACTTTTGTATATACCTGCTTAGTAGGGCTTTTGGCCCCCCCAAGCGGTGTTCTATTTTATACTAAGTCAGCTTATTGTCCCCACAAACTGGGTCCTCATTTTACCTACCTTGGAAGGATGGAAGGCTGAGTCAACCTTGAGCCTGGTGAGAATTGAACTCGCAGTAATTGCAAGCAGCTGGCAGCTAAATACTACTTTAAAGTAGTTTAGTCCACTGCACCACCAGGCTGCCCTTGAAGAGCATCCAAAAGTTTTAGCTGGTAGAGAATGCAATGGCTGGATAAGCTTTGTGTGTTTCTGAAGCAGCACATGTCATACCTCTGCTCTGTGAGCTCCCTTGGTTGCCAGTTTGCTTGTGGATCCGGTTCGAGGTGCTGGTTTTGCCTTTGAAAGCCCTTCCTGGCATGGGCCTGAGCTGAAGTACCACCTTTCCCTGCTTATTTCAGCCTGTCCAATGATACCTGGCAAAGAAGACATGCGGCAGGGACCATCAGCTGGGGATCTCCATTTGGTGGGTCCGAGGAAACGTTCCTTCTCTGCTGTGGCCCCCACCTTATGGAATATCCTCTCCCCTGAAATGAGATTAATTCCACCCTTTCTGAGCTTCTGGAAGGCTCTCAAGACCCGTCTTCATCCTCAGGTCTGGGGCTCTTAAAATATGAGATATGCTCAGATGGTTCCATAGCTGAGGTGGCTGTTTCCATCCATTTTATTGCCTGGGGGAGTTGTAGAGTTACTTATTTCTTAGCATAGATTTTTATGTATGTCGTTGATATGGCTGTGGTTTTTTAATCTCATTGTTATACATCGCCCAATATTGCTTTTGGGGGCAGGCTGGGAGTATAGAAATTTCATTTATAAATAAATAATAAAAATGTAAGTTTTTGAGGACGACTTTAGAATGGCCAAACTGAAGGAGAATAAAGGAGGGTTACAAATAAATAAAGTGGGATTTGAATTGGGGGTGTGTGGAAATGGAAGAGGAAATCAGGGTCAGATAACAAATACCTTATCAGTTAACAATAATGGGTTAAATCCCTATTGTGTTTCTTTACCCCTATTGTGTTCCCTATTTGCAGCTTTTACTTTCCCCAATTTTAATTTTACACTTTCCTCTCGATTTACGGGGAAAATTGTGGGGAGGGAGAAAGCTTTTTATTTAATTCTGGTCCAGAATGCGGCCGCGCGGGTGATTATGGACGCAACTCATTGTGCCCACGACACCCCTCCTGCGCGAGCTGCACTGGTTCC